AAGCTTAATGCGTATGTGTCCATAAGGACAGCACAATTTGTTTAATGCATTAGTGCGTTTCAGTGATTGTGTTTAAGCTATTTAGCTGGCAATGAATGATTCCATGTTGTAATCTTGCAAATGATTATTAAATAAATGATTAAATAGAGCTGAACATGCTGTGTTGGAGGACATGTTGTGCACATTTTCCATTTTGATATTCCTTTTGAACTGTACTAGTATATGTTTTTTTTTTTTTTTCAAATGAGTAATCGGAATATGCTGTGAGGTAATGTAAAATATAATAAAATGAATGTGAACACACACTGTGCTTAGATAACACTTAACAGACACTTCTCAGCAGAATAAGAGATTTAATTCTTAGGTCTTTTCTGAACACAAATGAAATATGCACAAGTTGTGCAGAATGAGTGTTGCATATGGCCGATTTTGCCAAGGACTTGCATGACGCTTGAATGAAGATGCCCAGCGTAAATGAATTTGATCTACACCATGACTAATTCTGAACCCTAGCTGTATAGTGATCCCGATGCTGTTTTTGGTATTGCTACTGAAATAAGATTAAACGTTTATGGATATGCTGAAAGGAACACATGCGACCCTGATTGAAGATGCCTTATACAGCGGTTCCAAATGAGTGCTTTGATATTCAACAAGGCAGAGTCGCTTGTGCTAATAGAATAATGATGAGTCTGAATTGGTAGAGAGAGGTCCCAAAGTTATGGAGTGCCAAAAATATGTATGGCTGAGATGCACAGCATGCGTAATACATGTATGTGAATGAAGGCATAATGATAGAAACTTTGAAAAAAAAGTGTCAGTCACGTGGTGTTTAAAACAAGTAAACGTGGTAACGCACCCTGTTCCCTCAAGTCAGAAAGGATTTTTACTAAGAGTTTGTGTTAGGTGAACTCTGGCTGTTCATGCGTGCACACCGAGCACTCCCAAAGTCAATTTTTGGAGAGCGCGAGTGAATAGAGGACTTGTTCTGAGACCAAGTGTGTTTACCTGTTCATTGATGCTGCAAGCTTACTTTAGTAGAAGAAAAGGCGCTAGATTTTTTAGTGCAAGTACGGAGCTTATATAACTAGAGCAGCTTTTTTTTTTGTAGAACGTCGCACGCATGACTTGATCTCCATTTCTTATGCGCACACGGCGTAGACGGGCACAAAATGCTGACGCTGTTTACTTTTTTTAAACAAACGGAGGTTGAACACTTTTACCCGCTCTGTTTATTAGCTATAGAATGCATTTCTCACTGCTTCACAACTTCCATTGATGATTCGGACGTCGGCGTCTGGTTAACCATAACACTAATTTGAGCAGGTTAAGGCGGACGACGACCGCACACTTAACACAGACATTGACAACAACTTCGCGTAGGCGTGCGACAGTGCGTGCCCACGCACCAAGCGTCCTGTTTTTGTCACAACGAGTTACCTCTGCGTTTGTGCAGGGTGCAGAACTCATTCATATCTTTTTTATGTAAACCTGTGGAATTTTTAAACAAACAAGGATACAGCGACGTAACTCTATGAAGGGAAGTGTGTGGGCGGACGCTAAAGCAACGTATTTAGGCCTACCAGAGAAAAACAACCTCGGAGGATATCTGACAAGGGCGGGTGCCACAAAATAATACGACAGAGCAAACTTAATACGCCCAAAAAGTATAACTGAAAAGCTAGCGTAAAACGTAGGTGTTCGAGAAGAAACCATTACTATTATCTATAAACGGAACAGTGAACATAAAGTACATATACCAAAGTATGTACATAGTATTCCGCTGACCTTTGGTGACATATAGTATGCAACCTTTATTATAGATTAAAGTGCCAGGACAAGACTTCCGTTGGCTATATATATTTGTATATTCTTTTCGAAGTGACGACGGACGCTTGTAGTGATTTAACGACACACGCCTCCTAATAGTCCACTTTTTGTCGACTCACTTCGAATGAAGATGAAGACGTAAGTAGAAAAAAAAACACTTGCAACATGATTAATTTTATGGTTGCGATTGCAACAGCTTCAAATTTACTTTGAACGAAAAGCTCGTGTTTCAGACCGTGAATGTAATCTCTGTTAAAATGTTAAGGCTCTGTCACATCTAGCGTACAGACGTGCGTAAGAGTATCGTATGTGACATCGATTACACGCACAACTTTGAGCGTATGAAATCACCGTTTTCAGCGAATGAAAAATAGATATAAGCAGTGTATGGAATTGTTTTTGAACGTGGTAAAAACATTCCGTCCGGGTATGCAAGTGCACACCAACGTTTGTCTGCGTATACGACGTAATTCTTACGAAATCCCTTGTATTTGTCTGCGTATAGGTAATTTTTCTCATACGTAAGTACTATACGCTAGGTGTGACAGGGCCTTTACGGACCGTGTCCGTGCTCCAGATAGAGCGTTCTGTTTCTGTTATGTCTCATGTTTATGGTATTGATGATCAGAATAACGGTCAAGTGCAGGTGAGGGGTGGTCAGTTCATGCCTTAGCTGAATTCCTTAAAAAAACACGATCAGCCCAGGGCTGAGCCTGGGGAGATTATTTGTGACGGCGTCCCTTGCTGAAAACCGTGAGATACGACTATATATAAATTATATTTTGTAAAAAAAAAAAAAGAGTTGCCTTAGCTCGGTGAATAGTAGACCGAACGGGGATAGGGTTCTTATTTACCCTCTGATATCAGGATCCTTTCAAATAGTCAGTATAGTATATGTAGAGAATACTATAATTTTGTAACAGACTACTAGCGTACCCTGCGGTCAAAGAGTAAGTCTGGCTGCAGTTGTGACATCTTTTTATAGTACAGTAGGTACCGGTCTCTTGGACACGTCTAGAACGAATAAATTCATTCGTCCAAGGATGTGTTTATGGCGTGAAAAGTGATAATTTAGTTAGTGTTCGTCACACCAAGTCACTGGTTCAGTGCACATCAGCTAGTGTTTTCAATAGGACTTTTCGGGCCGCTTTATAAGAACCGTGATTTAGAGCATCTATTAACTACTTAACGACATCTCATTTTTCTGTTGTTCATTAAAAATTGTTCCGCCCCAGAGGTTCCCTTTCTGCAAATATTTGAGATAAAACCGTTCTAGTTTGAAAGGTTTCACATTTTGGAATATCTTAACATCAGTTTAACTTTGGAGTGTTTTTATGGGAAACGACTTGAATGTCATTATTGTTTTCCTCATTTAATCGCTCATCTGGCTTTTTTACACTCTCATTTTCATAATCAGTATTTCTACGTAAAGCTTCCTGGGTGTTCTCGTAAAGTGACTCTATATTCTTAACCGCTTTAATACATTAGATACATTATAAAGCGTTGTTCTTAATTTTTAGATAACCCACGTAGTTTCAAATCGTCGATAAGCAGCTTGTCCGGATTTTAAAGGTACCCATTCACAAGGGCCACGCCTTTCCTGTAGACGCCCTCTAAATCACCGCCCACCTCAATCAACAGTTTATTGATTTGAGTCCTGTTACTTCAACTCGGAACAAAGTAAATAGAATAATGCCTTACAAAAACACAATTTTCAGTCGAAGAAATTTATTCCTTGTAGCACAACAGAAATCGTATAAGATTGACTCGTGGACAAAAAGTTTAAATTCAAGTTTTTGTTTACAACTACTAGCGGCCTGGGGATAAAAGACTTAGTGAACACACATAATAAATCATATCGTTTTTGTTATGACATGAAAGCACTTATTGAACCTATCGTCACAAAATCTGTTATTTTTTCATATTCTTTTTCTTAAAGTTGCATCTTAATGGAGAAAACACGTTCTAAGAAGTGTTTTATTTATTTCAAAACGGTGTGATAGTCATGTATAGCTTTACATTTGAAGCTTACGAGTAAAACCTTAATTCCAAAGTTTTTTTTTTTTTTTTTTTTTTTTAAACGAAAAACGACGCTGAATCTCTCTGTCACTTTCTTTCTCTCTCTCCCACACACACACACACACACACACACACACACACACACACACACTAAATTGCATATTTGTCACTTTTGGTCCTTATATTGTGATGTGGGCGGTCTTAGAATAACTGGTAAGAATTGGTAACGACTTTACATTCTGACAACCAGCAATTTACTTTTCATGCTGCGTTAATTACTCGATGCCAGGTTATCATCAATATCAGCTAATATCGCATTGTTGTTGGCAAGTTGATGGTCGAATTTTGTTGTCAGATCCGTGGGGGTCCAGATCGGAGGTGTTTTAATTCGCCAGGCTCCGTGCGTACCTGAACGAACACATTAAATGGGTGTGAGTGAGACAATGGCCAGGTAAAAATTGGCGGAGTGAATGGAACGCTAATGGTCCTATTTGTCACAGCCTGTGAATGATCTGATTTATTTAATGCACGCTGGGTGAGCGGAAGGGAGGTTACGACAATGAAATTAATTACTACGTGTCCACTCTGCATCATCGTAGTACTTCAAACACTTTGTTTTGATATGTGGGACTCCGCAATCAGTTTATTTCTGTCCCACCTGGGCAGTGGTTAACGGACAGATGAAAACAATTGACCATGTTTGCCTTCTCGAAGCAGCTTATAGCGGTTAAGCGAAATAGATTTAAATTAATTTTTTTTCATGTTTTTCTTTTGTTGTCCATGATCCATTCAAATATGCGATTTTCAACGGAGCAGAACAAATCAAACATTGACTTATGCATTTTTGTCTGCATTTTCCCTTCTGTGTACTCCTGCCATATCTTTTTAAGTGTTAAGTTAATATATAACAAAAGTGGAAGTCAAGAGTTGATAAACATTCTTCCTTCACTGTTTGTTACCACTCGAGTATTTGTTGACCAAAGATGTGTGAAAAAATTAATTTAGCTGTGGTTTTTTGAGGACGTAGAGTTTCAAGTTTCACTGGCCTGACTTTTTGTTTGCGTGTGTAATGACTCGTGAAGCGACCAGGGGAATAACATTTAGAAGTCATTTTCAAACTATACCAATACAGTTTACATCAATTTTTTCAGGCATGTTTCTCTGCAAACAGACACTCTAAAGGCCGATGAGATCCCGGCAGACATACGGGCCTTTTTCGGCCACCCCCTCACCGCTGCCACCACTGCTATCGATGGTGAAGATGCGCATGCGTCAGCACTGGCGCTTCTTCACGAATACCATAACTTACCTGCGATCGACAGGGGTGATCTTAAGGTTGGGGACAAATACGAATCCATCCAAGATTTACTTGATAAAAGTGAAAGGCAAGACAAGGCAGCTGGAACAGAGAAAGATTCTTTCAGGTAAATTATAATTTTTCCCGTTTTTCGTATTGTACGTTTGGGAAGTAAGTTTTCTCAACTGGATGTTTACTTACAAATTTTGCCTTGACATTTAATGGAATATCATCACTTAAAAAGCGTTTTCTGACTTGGTTTTAAATACTGTCGGGTATATACTGATTTCATTTTCCATCTTTCACATGGGGTGCCCACGTCAAATCATGAACACGGTTACGATTAGTACCCTGAAGATCACAGTGTATTTCCGCACGTCTTTTTTTTTCAAATTTTTTTAAACATGTTTATTGTAGATGACGCTATGGTAATGCCTAGACCACTGGCATCATAACTTGCCGATGGCATCTGCAGATAAATATAATTTACACCTTCCGAGACACTAAAATAAGCCTAGCGCATGACCAAAATACCAAGCCTTAAGAAAGATTTTTTTTTGAATGTAGCCGAATAAGGTCATTAGTGGTTGCTTGAGAAGATCTAAACACGAATGTTGCAAAATCATATCTACATGCCAAATCTTTGTATTTTTTTAAGAAAGTGAGTTTGACATGTCATTTTGGTCACCTTTTTTATCAATGGAAATCCCATCCTATATTCGTGTATTAGACAGAGCATTAAGTGGACAGGTATTAACACGCAGTGTATGGTGTGAGAGGGGGAAGAGAACTCTGAGGCTGAAAAAAGCATTAAAGTATAAACCTGATAGATATTTTACCCAGAGAATGAGATAGAGGCCTGGTATTTGTTGTCCCAATACAAGTGCATGTACAATATAGAAAGAAATACGTTCGAGCTTTTTGTAAAGATCACAATCAAAGTCCTCTTCCTTTTTATCTGGCATTCATCTAACAGCCCCTGGGTCTGCGGTTTAGGGGCGTTAAGTTTTTTAAAATCAAGAAGCAAAAGGTACCGACTACTGATTATCTTGTCCATGCCGACCAAAATATATTCCAAAATATATTTCAAGTCTTAATCGTGTTACCGTAGGCGAAATTACCTTCCCTGTCCAAATATTGAATATTTACTGCGAGATACATTATCTGTTATACCTTTAAAGAAAACATAGGTAAGGCGTATAATTTACGTTCAGGCAAAGGTTTGTCCGATAGGACATCGCTGTGTTGTGGTCAAGAATTATCTTGGTGCCTCTACCCTTGAAGTACATTGCGGGCGCAGATTTCTTCCGCCCCGACTTAGGGGATACCCAAAGGGGTTGGAATACTTTATCGCTCTGTACGGCGCCTTACCGGTACGATGATCGACCTTGGGGGCTCAATAACCTCGTGAGACTTTGAAAAAAGTAAAAAAAACGTCCACACCATATCATCATGGCAAATTGACCAACGCTGACTTCAACAAGTTGTGGTTATGTTAATCACCTGCACGCTCTACGTGACCTGTCACAAAGACCCGAGGCCTTCGAAGATGTAAAAAATGTCGCTGTGTATTTCCAAAGAAACTTGTAATTCACATCTGCAATTCAAAACAGTTACTATTCTTATCTGTTAGATGATGTTTTATGCAGCGATGTCCTATCGGACAAACCTTTGCCTGAACGTAAATTATACGCCTTACCTATGTTTTCTTTAAAGGTATGAGTCGTGCTGTTACAGACACAGGTGTTCCTTGTCATTTTTTATCAGAATTGTATCAATATGAGAAAAAGAAAATAAATGAATTAGCATTACATACATGTAAGATTCTGGGAGACTTGGACTGTAATCATGAGGACCGGGAAGATTTATCTAAAATACTGATAGACTTATTGGAAATAAACCTACAGACATGGTATTTTAAAGAACAGTTTTAGTTTAAGGCAGTCAGCTCTAGTTATGGTTCAACAGTGTACCATAAATTATAGTGTTTGCTTAATTATAACTTTTAACCTTAATCTAAGATTTTTTATTTTGTTTTGTTTCTGATGTATGTACGGTTCGGTGACTTGTAGGCCCACGAGGCTGGGTGATTTGTGTATCTATATCACGTTAATAAATAAATAATATTTACTATTTACATACAAAGTAATCATTCTCTCAAAAAATATGTTTCTGATATGTTTCGGCCAAAGAAAAAAAATTAAAAACTGCATGGTTTTGTATATTTTAATACTATGTCAAAATATGTGAAACATCACGTGTTTTCTCCCATTTTCCTTACGAGGGTATCTGTTTATGGTTAGCTAAAAACCACGAAATAAAACTTAAGTCATTGAATAGTGATAATGGCGCCTATACTTTAACAATTAAGATTTTCCGTGTAACCTTTGCGTCTTGGCGTAACACTTACGATAATATCTGATCATTTTGGGTGCTGTTACGGTGAACGCACCCATGTAATCGCGGCCTATCTCTGTTTTCTGAACAGCAAGGGAGTGGTAGCGTGCGTGGAGCTTTTTTCATCGCACCCCAATATTTTATATTATCTAAACACGCAAAAAAAAATTGATCAATGGACGAAGGGGCAGAGTGTATGTTTCACTGTCTTGGAGCTTTTTTTTCTCTTTTTTTAGGTAGCTGGTACTAATGTCCTTAAGGCATGTTATCTGAACTTAAGCTATGGAATGACTGCAGAACTAGTAGTAGAAATATGAAAAGTGCATGTAACCGTTAATTTGCCATTTTTTCGGTGCAGTATTTGGGGGCTTTTAGTCAATAAGTTGCTGGCCAGTGTACACCGAAGAGGCGTTGCGCCCTTCAGGAAAATGTGTTTAGTTCTTTAATTAATTCATTTCATGTCCCTAAATCCGCTATTTTACAGAATGACTCTTGTTGGCGCCCTGTTTGGTGCCAGCCTGAGACAGTTGTCCCAGGGTGGTTACCATTAAAGTTTTAGTCAGTAAGTATAGTTTTGGGAAAAGGACTTAACAGTCCGTGGTCCCCTGGAGTATCATCTGTATAATGTCATGCAATCATCCTCCTTTTCGCTGTTAACACATTTGGGTAATGTATGTCCGAATCAAGACCGCTCTGTATAGGACTTTTTGTGAACGCATTATGTCACCCCTCTGTACGTGCGAAAAGCAATAATCTGCCCGACGTTGCCTAAAAAAACGATAACAATTATCGATTGTCGCATCTTATCCGACGGTACTTTCTGATTTATGCCGTCACCATACTTATTACTTGAATCATGATATCCCAGTTCATCCGTTGAACGACTGAATAGAAAAAAAAAACGTATTGGTTTGAAAATAGTTTGTCCACGAAAATAATTTGTCCACGGAAAAAGTGAAGCAAGTAGTGCTTTTCCGTTTTGCGAGAAAATAACGATTTGTTGGGACTGAATGGGACACCGAGTAGGAGGTCTGAGTAAATTTTATTTATTATGTTTTTTAACAACGTAACAATCCTCATCCCTTACCTTTATAGACGAAGGAGCGGCACAGGATGAAAAGCGAATTCGTGTTTTCTTATACCGACGCCTACGTGCCTTGACACGCTGCCATAGTGCACAGCTTACGCAATTAGTTTGTTACAAGAAGAGCGTTTTTATCACCTTAAAAATATGTCAAAAATAAATTGTCCCAGGTCGTAATTGTCTGCTCTGCTGGGTTGGAAAGTTAGTATGTACTCAGTAAATATCTTCCCAGGTATCTTGAATACGTGTGTTATCTTGTACTTATTCAGGAAAGTGCTAAGGTGACGTAATGTGTTTTTTTACAATTTAGAAAGGAAAATTAGAGAAACTGACACATTCTTGCACCTAAGTGCTCTGTTTAAAGGGGCACCTCTGTTTTCAACTAAATGACATGGTTGCTATAAATCAATCCTAATTTGAAGTGTGTAGGAGTTTTTTTTTTACAGATACTTTACATAAAGAAATAAATGGAAATTATCCAAGCGCGGTGTTTTTGAAAATATCAAATTCTTGCACATAATAATAACAATACGTTTATTTGAAACATTACAACCAAAGTTTTGAAGTTGTACGGATAATAAAGTTCGAAAAAATTATGAAATAAAATATTTATATAAAATAAAAGCTTTTCATAAAAATCAAATTGAATTCGAATTAAAAATGGACCTCTGAAAGTTGGTTAAAGAAAGCGGGATCAAAGAGTTTCTAGAACGTTCGGTCCTGAATTTTGGCACACTTAAGTTGGATTGGTTATGTCTTCACTTTTTGTAAAATCTGTATTTTAAGAGATACTTTAGTTTTATCCTTGTCTTTTGCATAGTTCTGTGCGCCGCTTTTCTAAAATGACAAAACATTCCTATCAGGCATAGATAATGGGACTATTTAAAGGATCAAATATTCCACAATAGAAATAAAAAGTAACTACTTAATCGAAACATACATTGATATCAAGACAATATTCTGAACTGAATCAATTCACTAGAATCTAGGATCCTAGCTGGAATGAAACCACAGCTACAAATTTCAATACCAACTACAATACATTTCTATATTAATACTGACAAGAGCGCAGCATCCGCAAATATTTTCTTTAATAAGATAATTAAAAGTGAAACAGCTGTTTTTTTTTCATCAAGTCTTTTTGCCAGACAACAGGTCCTTAACATTAAGAAGCGATGTCTAGTTTGTATCACCAATTGGTATCCTGTCTCATAAATTCCGTCAAGTTAATATCAAATAGTTTATAAGATTCATTAAGGAGGGCGTTTTGCTGTACTCTTATTAGTTAACAGTGCGGCTTATTGTTCTTCCGTGTGCCAGTGACAGGTGACATGCTCCGTGTTTGTCTCCGCCACATGGCAGGGGGGATCCAAGCACGCGCAGTTTCTATTGACGATACCGTCTTTTGTGCTCGTGTCATAAGGTAATCATCATTTGGGTGCTGACCAATATAGCTCTCTGTCTAGTACAAATGCCGGGCTTGCATGTCAAAGTGTGTTTTATCTGTGTTAACTGTGACTGCTTGTGTGTGCGTGTTACTTCAAACGGGCAGCACATATTGAAAATGCGAACCTTTCCAGTGCCCCCAGCAGCGATAGCAGTGACAGCATAAGCAGCAGCGAAGGGCAGCCGAAGTCGGAGGACCCATGGTTGTCACAGGAGCTGGAGAACATTCTGAATGACAGAGCCAATACGACCCAGGAGAGACCGTCGCCCAAACCCTCTTCCTCACAGAGACGTCATTATCCACAGAGACAGGTGCGTTACCAGCATCCTCGTGCTAAATGTTCATTTACTGAGTTTATTGACCTATGTTTTATATCGTTGAAACTTAAAACGGCAAGCGCATTACAGACAACTTTTTTTCTTCAAATTGTCCACAGGCAAATACGAGTTTTTGAAGTAAGTACGACTATTTCTAGAAAAAAAAACATGAAATTGTCATAAACTCCGTCCATTTCGTTGCAGTATGAGATTATTCATGGTAATCATTTCGTATTCTTAAATGTGTGTAATGTCATATATTGTGCATACTATTCCTTTTTCAGAACGGTTGTATAGACAAAAACGATCATCTCGATGACAGCGAAAACTGTCTGAAAGACAATTTCAACTTTAGCGACGGAAAAGAATGCAAGTCGTCGCAGCCAGAGGGAGATTCTGTCTGTACAGTTAATTCGGCCATATTGAACGTCGTAATCAAACAAGAAGGAACAAAACATTGCAGCCTGCAAAATAACAGTGCCAACAACAACAACATGGACATTCATATTAATAACACCGGTAATGTTAATGACTTACTGAAAATGAAACTTAATGGAGGAACAAATGGACACTGCTATGATGATCTCAGGTTAAATGGAGTCGTACATGATGACAGTGTAGACACAGATGCCAAGCCATCTGAAAATACAAAGAGACTTATGCAGGCTCTCACAGAGAAAATTTTGAGGAAGAAAATAGAACACAATATTCCTCTCGGTCACACTGTTGTTGAGCAGCAGAGAAATGGAGTGGTGTCTGCTAGAACAGAAACCGGGGAACATGGACATGACTTTGTGTTGGTACGCTCGGACAGTTTTTTGGAAGATCTGCATGGAGACTATGATTTACAAAATGAAAGCCAAATGACAGACATCAGTTACAACGGCCTGCATTCTAACGGTCTGGATTACCATCCGGGACCTGTTGTCACCCAGTCTCAATGGCACCATCCAACACCGGCCATATCGCACGACTTCAATGGCCATGCAGTGGCTTCCACAACTTACGCCAACCCTTCCAACTCTCATCATCAACCGTATCAAAATGCAGATTTCTTAAATATTGTATATCAAAATGGGTTCAGTGCTTCGAGCCAAGCCGAATTTCCCCAACACCAATCCCGTCCTAGTCCACCCACGAGTCTGTCTCAGGCTCTACAAAATGGTCCACAAACCATGAACGGATTTGGTCACGATGTTGTCAGCAACGCCGCCTTCCCTGTGGATTATAGCACTTTTCCAGTGAGATCGTCTCTAGGAACGGAGAATTATAATTTGAAGTCTCCAGACAGTGGATACAATGAGAACTGCAACTCGCCCACGGATGCTACATCACCACCGGTGAGGATTTAGGGGGATATATTGGTTAAAAAGAATAACGTCTTGCTGCCAGGGTCTTCGATAATAAAACTAGGAACATAAAATATAACAAAAAATCACGATTTTTTCGTAGAAGGACTTTTACATGTCGTTCATACATTTCAAACGAAACCGGCCTTTGTCATGTCACAAAGTGTATTATAAGATGCTTAGGCTATGAGTAGATTATTTGAACAACAAAAATAGAAGATTAATTAGTAGTTTAATTAGTAGTTTAAATCAAGTTTTACTTTCAGGTATTTGGAGAAACTGGCCCGTCTTTCTACCCCGCCGTTACAACAAACAGCAGCAACCACAGTCCTTCGAAAGAACGGGGAGTGAAACGCAGGCGTTCCTCGGTGTCATCCAACTCCAGCAAGCACTGCAATCAGACGCCATCTAAATTCATATACCCTCCATCGTCTACCATCCCCAAACTGTAAGTCTATTAGATTATGTACAATGATATCATGAACCCACAAAAGCTGAATATTTAATCATTTCTGTGTCATTTAACGCAAATGTACTTTTATGGAGTAATGTTTCATGTTTTAAATCTTTTTTGAAAAGGTTAACATCCTCTAGATGAACAACGATAATAGACGGTTTATCTTTTATCATTTAACACTAAAGATCAAATAAGAACTTTGAAAATTCCGTTCTCTAGAGGGCGACAGTAGCCCTTTGCTCGATTGTTTTTTTCGATAAATTGCCATTGGGTTATTTGCAATTCTGATTAAAATGATAGTGCTTAAAATATATATACATATTTTTTGTATTTCCAAAATTGTCATATCAAATTTGTAAAAGAGGATGCTGTTACTGATAAGAAAAACACAGAACCTAATAGAGCAACAGTTGGATAATAAATAAAATATGTTTTGAACATGCGAAACAGCTTTTACAGTAAATTCAGATAATCTACTAATTCATGTCTGACATGTTATGTTGAAAGATCACGATGGAAATCGCTGAGAACACGCGTGGTTGTACTGAAAGGCCACATTATCTCGGTCTTATACTTTTGTATTACAGTTACTATTGTACTTTCTATGTACTGTTGTACGTAGAGATGATTCGAGTACATTATAACATAACTTCACACTGTAATGAAATGAAGTATGATAACTTTGCTTCATAACTTAATCATATTAAGTATAATAGATATAATTTATATAGCTCCATGTAGGCCAGTCCTATTTCTTTAACTGTTATTATTTCAGTGAGAATGATATTACTGGATATCGCTACTCACTGGAGGCGCCAATATCTACCAGTCAGAGGATTGATGAAGATAGAATGACTTATATGAATAAAGGTAAACACCCACTAAAGTCTGTCTAAGGTGGTAACCGTGTTGTTGGTTCTATCTACGTTTTTGTTTTCTATGTTCATGCTATATTTTTGAAACCCAAGAAAGGACTGTGCGGTTTTCACGAAGAAGCTAGTTTCTAGAGTGTTTTTTTAGAGCGACTTGATCGAACGGAAGGTTAATTTTGCCTACTCGAGTGAACATTGTATTTTCATTAAAAACCAGATCTTGTTTATTCACGATTCTGGCTCCCCCCTGAGAGCAGTCATTGTCTCGCCTACCCTTCCCCTGATCGAAACAGACGTTTTTGAAACAATATGTTCTCTTTCTTTTTACCGAGAGAAAAAAACTTCAATCGACTGACAAGATGCTTTCCGCGTGGTTGCTAGCTTTTATACTTAATGTTGACCTCAAGCTACCGTTCTCTTTCCAGGTCAGTTCTACACAATAACGCTTGACAATGTCCTAGGGGATCGGATCATGAAATGTCATACTGTCAAGGTAAGATAAAAGAATTGGAACAAAACATATCAACTCTTACCCCATCAGTGAGGTGGGAGTAGGGCGCCTGCGCGTGACGATCTAAAATCTAGACACCCCCTCTCCCCAGTGGCAGATTTGTCCTCTAGTTCCAAATTGACCCATGCTGCAACTGTGTGACAGCACTTTTTTATTTTAAAAGTAAGGTCTGCATATTGTATGACTCCCACCATGGTGCTGTAGCAAAGATGGAGTCAGTGGCATCACAGTGAGGGGAGAGCGTTCTCCTTTAATCTTTCTTAAAATACACTTGCAAACAGACAAGTCGAGCGAAGGAGGTTTTATACTGCCCCCCTTTGAATGGTCCTGTTGTTCAGTGGTTTCAATAATACGATATTTTAAGATCTAGTTATTGCTAAAAAGAGTTTTGATGTATTTTGTGGATATAAATTACAGATCCTTCCTGTTGATAAGGTACATATTAATATCATTGAATTAACCAACACATTTTGCTTGACATTCTAGTCTGTAATAATGCTAGTATTCCGTGACGACAAAACAATTGACGATGAAATGAAAGCTTGGGAGTTTTGGCACAGCAGGCAACATAGCATCAAACAGCGCATTCTAGACATAGGTGAGTCGAAGTTTTGCGCTAAGCACACAAGCATACAAAGAAGTAACGTAATAACTGTAATCACTGCACTTTGAGATGAAAAGAAATCCATGTCAACATGAAGCCCAATTTTTATTTAACCCCTATACTGCCTCTCGTACATGTTTGTCTGTTGCGTTTTACAAGTTTGACTTTGTGGCACTGGTTATAAAGTCTAAATGACGTATTGTGTTGGCATATCACTAGAGCCATAGATGTTAAATTACGCATTTTAATTTTCAAAAATTCAGAACACAGAAAAGGAATGATTTTTTTATTTCTCAAGGTTGAACGTTAACGGTAATAAGTCGCTTACTAATGTATTATATATCGCAAACAACACCTTGTTTGTGTTTGGGAAAGAACAGACTTTTATATGCTTTTTTTTTCAGATACAAAAAACAGCACTGGGATTATTAGTAATTGTGTGGATGAAATAGCACACAATGCAGTGGTGGTTCGATGGAATCCAAAGGAACAACCCGCCAAGGTAAATTGCCCTAACCCCAATACATTATTTAAGACGTGTTAAGGTACTTTTGCAGTCATATCACATATACAACAAATTATGTGTTGGAAAGTTTATAAATTCCGCCAACAAATAGTGATTTACGTGATTTATGGGATTTACAAATTGTATTTTGTCTCTTGATAACTAATAGGCCTATAGGTTAAGACATTACTTGGGTATTCAGAAACACACTTTCTAGACATTTGGAGAGTAGATAAATAAGTCAAGATGTCATTTTGGTAGGGATCAGAAAGAGAAGATAAATGGGGAAAACTGACATACAGCGTGACGTGTGTTTTTTAGGTGTCAGTAGCTGTCAACTGTCTCAGTACCGACTTCAGTAACCAGAAAGGGGTCAAGGGCTTCCCGCTCCATCTCCAAATTGACACGTTCGAGGACAGTACGGATTCGTATCCTATACATCGCGGATACTGCCAACTGAAAGTCTTCTGTGACAAGGTAAGAAGGTCACATTACTGACTGGCCTTTCGTCAGTATTTTTCATTTTCATTACTTATTTGTACGCCCACTTTCATGGCGACTGCTACAAGAAGGTACAATTCGACCCAGAATTGAAAATAAATATTTATTTACGTTTGTGGGTCTTAAAATATTAATGAATCTTCGTTTATTGGAATAAAAAATATTGACTATTTTTTTTAAATATATTTTTTTAATTTTTTTCTTTGTTTGAACATTGTATCTACAGTTTATCTCTTTAAACTTTTAAGTTTAAGTTTCTTAAAAATATCTTAAGAAGTAGCAATTTATGTGTTAATGCAAAGTTATCAGTGTTTTGTATGCACACTGCAAATGCACGTTTGAACCTTATTTTAAAGTCTAGTTTATTGTTCAATGTATGAACTGTTCAGAAGGAACGAAAAATAAAAAGAGGCCTCGGGTGTAGAGTTTTGCAACACTGAGCACACATTATCGGCAAGATCGGGTTTCTGTCAAGAAGGTTAAGTTCACACTCCGTGGCAAATTTATGACGCTTGCGTATCTTGTATTTCTTTTTCCATTGAAACAGCAAATTCAAAAGCCCACACCCAAGCTTGCAGTTTGTCCGAAATTTCTTAAATATTTGCTTTTAAGTATATCATGTTTTTTTTCCTTTCAAGGGTGCGGAACGAAAAACGCGTGATGAAGAACGAAGGAAGGACAGCAAAGGTACTGCGACTGGAGGTAAAAGTGGTTCGGTGCTTTTAGTGTCAAATCCTGACATAGTTGCTTGAAATGGCTTAATTCGGTCATTTTTCTTTCTAACCTTTGTCATTAACGCATATGTACTCTTGGGCTGTTGCTTTAGATTCTTGCCTTACTTTCTTGGATGGCCGCCTAAACCTTTGCTATTTGTGCTAAAATATTATGAAATTCTACTACTTTTTTAATCAATCAAAGCTTAGTTATATATGTCAACTTTTTTCTTGCAAATGTAGTTGATAGATTAACAAAATAGAGCTGTTTTGCCACTGCTATTACGTAACTTAACAAAACAACATTTTTCTTAATAGGAACTTATTATTATTTAAGGCGCTTCCTTTCCACCTTGCTAACCGTTTGGTTCATTTCAGTGTATTAACTTTCAAGCAAATAAAAAAAGCTTTAAAATTTAGCCTTATTGAATGTTGTATATCTGAACAAGATGAATATTATTTCATCTAAGATTGGATCGTGATGTTGATACATTTTTTTTTCAGCACGAAAACGACAAGAAGACATTTACCATCCGCCGTGCGAGAGGTCCGAGTTCTATGCAATGGCAGATCTTCAGAAGCAACCTCTGCTCTTTTCTCCTGTTGCCGAATGCAATAATTTTTCAGGAAAGGTAAGTTTTCCTTTGGTATGATACACTTTCGACTCAGATTTATATTGAGATTAAGGTAACAAAATGATATTTAGATTCTAGTTTTTATAAATTTTTTAACTAAATGTGTAACGTCCCTTGTGAGATGACAAAATACAATATCTTCGATTTTTTTACCATGATGTATTAATCTTTTACAGGTTTCGCTAACTGCTATAGATTTTATCGGATACAGTGATATAAACAAAAGGTAAGTAAGTGCGTTCAATGCAGCAAAATAACTTCATACGCATACTGAATAAGTTCTTTCTTCTTTAAGGCCACGGTAGTAAACGAAAATTCCATCACATTTTATTTGATGAATTTAACTAAGAGATGACACCACGCGTCTCCGTTTCTCTTCTAGCTGCGAGGAGATGATGCCTGTAGATAAGAAGATAAAGGTGGAACGCTCTGTGCTGGAAGACCAAAAAGGTTAGTCTAACACGCGAGTGATGTTAAATTCTGTATTAAAATTCACGTTACATGGTACCAACGGAGTCAGTCCTGTGTGGTTAAAGGAATAACATCTGTTCATTTTGGATTTTCCTGGAGTAAACGGCTATTTCTCCACACTTACTGATGTGAATCCGTTCCGACATTCAGAGTTAGTCCCTGTCTTCTTTTAAAATGTTTAAATATGTACTCTTGGGCTGTTGCTTTAGATTCTTGCCTTACTTTCTTGGATGGCCGCCTAAACCTTTGCTATTTGTGCTAAAATATTATGAAATTCTACTACTTTTTTAATCAATCAAAGCTTAGTTATATATGTAAAATTTCTGAAGAGATAATTACAGAGGGTGGCCATCTGTGGAAGTCACGTGGTTCGATTGCAGGCACAGATTCCAAAATAATTGTGATAACCGCCGTTTTGGTGGTAAAATAGAATTTATTATATTTCTATGGGTTGTTTATTATGTATTTATTGCGAAATATGGATCTCATATGAAGAGTTGTTATTCCTTTAATATCATACCCGTTTGGGATCGTTTCAGTTCCATCAAATGTAAATGCACCTAAACGCTGACTGTAGCGACCGTGAATATAGCCTTTCGTAGCACGTATAGCATATCTTCCACTTTTTAGGTTTTCGTGCTTGTTTATTTTTTTCTGAAAGTTGTATCGAAATCAACCCTTAACTGTCACGTAATAGGAAGGGTGTGTTGCTCGAATATTGTCGATTTAACAAAGACTTGAGTGACTAATGCCACAAGGTCCCCAATGTTAGCACTAGACTTTTGAGTCAGTCCTCGAACTACAATCAACTGGTGTTCTTAATGAATGAATCCTGTTATGCAACGTCAAGCGAGGGGTTTTTGATTTATGAATAATTGCGCCAGCACGTTTAAGAGACTTATCATTCAGACCAATGTAGCTTTTGGTACAAGTATTTCAAAGACGTTTGCGTGACACTGCGCTGCTGTCCTTGATGGAAAGTTCAGGTGATGATACATGATAGGACCACGCGATATTGACATAGAAAATGTAGGTGACTATTTGCCTGGAGTAATATACATCTCTCTCTCTCTCTCTCTCTCTCTCTCTCTCTGTGTGTGTTGCATGTGTGTGTGTTGCATGTGTGTGCGTGTGTGTGTGTGCAGTTTACACGTAACGACATACTCATGTGTCGTGTTTCATCTCACGTATTTTTCATGATTTCATCATTTTAGTTCTCCTGTACGTGCGTGAGGAATATGAAGACGTTTATACGGCGTTACTAGTGTTAAGGCCCACTTTAAAAAGCCTCACAGAAGCCGTAAGTAATATGATACATGTCTTTTAAAGTCATTCCAGTCCATTTTCACTTTTGAAGAACCATAAATCACCACTGGCCGAGATAATAAAGACTTGCCTGTCAATTACTGTTGTTGTAAAATCTTTTAGACTTGGCATTTCAACTTAATCATGAAGTTGTATTGTGAAATTAGTGTTATTTGGCCGTGCTTTGTACGCCTTTTGGGGTCAAGGCATTCTTCATGGAGTGTTAAGCACTTAAACGACCCCCTTTTGCGTCTCAAACGCTGTCAGTTGCCGTAGGCAATCGTATCCGTCATCTTGCAGACACGGCATATGGGGTCGTCTTTTGTAAACGGTAAGTGACAACCTAATTTTTGTATACACTATGTGCTGAGATTATAATTTTTCTTGCAGATCGAAGAAAAATATAACATACCGGTGCAAAATATTAGAAATGTGTTCAAGAAATGCAAGAAAGGGTAAGTATTTAAGTTCTTGGGGGTAAAAATTTAGCTTATTAACAACGTTAAACTAAAATATCTTTTTAGGAACAATATCTTTTTGTGTGCTCTTTAATTCGTTCGTCTTCTTAGTTGAACTGATATATATTTTTCATTTCCGGCCTTTAGGATCCTTGTCAAGATGGATGACAATATCGTCCGCCATTATTCTCATCAGGCGACATTTATCATCAAGATCATGAAAACCGCAGACGATCCCGAACCCTGCTATGACGTCATTCTCAGAGAGTTAGAGGACTGAATTAGTTTACAGAATATATTATTAAAAGTGTACTTGTGTAAAAAAAAATCTTGGGCTGACTGTAAGTTAACAAAATTTTCTTGTGCCTACAACTTTGGGGTCCCAGAAAAACGAATCCTTGTACCATATTGCAGACTACGGATTTAATTTCAGCCCCACCACAGAGTAATAAAGCGTACATATTAGCTGAAGTGACATATAAGCCATAGAAATCGAAATCGAATCCGTCTTTACCATTAAGTGCCATTGTGAATCAGAATTTTAAGATTGATGAGTTAAATTATATTGTGCATTTTACCATAATTCCGGACGGCGTTTAGTTCGGCTGGGGCCATGTTCATGTGCTGTAGAAAAATTTCAATGTCGTTCAGCGAACGGAATATATTTTGTATATATGTGCTTTTTTTGAAGGGGGGAGCTTACACATGAGGATCAAATGCACACGTTGTGCTTGTGTTTTCATTACTTTTTGAGCGTGTTTGATTCTATTCCCAGGGTAAGAACTATTCCTGTCTAACTGTCCATTTCCACTTTATTTATTGTAAATGATTATTTCTCTTTTACTCATTATTGAAAGATATGTATATAATTTAATTTACCATATACTAGGATAAACATTCTCTATTTCCAACAAACGGGGTCTCATTGTAATGTTAAACATTCATCCATTCCAAACACCATTATCTTGTAAGTAGCCGGTGCAAACATCCTTCACTAGCTTTAGAGTAGATTTTGTAGACCGAAAAAACAGTTATGATATAAGTGCCCTTAAATGTTTGGTTATAAACCATACTAGAGACTGTAGGAATAGTGTAAAATAAACAGCCATATAATTGTGTCCATCATATAATCTAATAAGCTGACAAAACGTTTCTACAGGTTCATAGTTAATTGTACATTTAAAGTTAATTTGGCTTTGTTTGATGGCTAAATTATCCACATGTAGACGAGTCCAGCATCAAATAACGTTATTTTGCTGGATTTTTATCTTTGGAAAGTCGGCTGGTTATGGCTGATGAAACCAGTTTATAAACATGATAAACTATGCAAGAATTGCTCTAATACAGCTCAATCTTAAAGACAAAAGAAGTGATAAAGATGATAAAAGAAGACAGCAATTTTACTATTTTCTTAATAGCAGATGCAACAACTAATGTACTTTCTTTTTGTATTGTTTTGAAACTTGTTTAAGGTGTTTAATCCTTGTATTGTGCATGCATTTTTAGAGCATAATAAAATTCTGATGCAGCCAAATGCTTTCCAGTTGTGTTATATTCTATCAACTATTGTGACAGAGAAGATTTTTGAATGCAGGAGCTTTCCATGAAGATGTCTGTCTTTCATTGCTATAGCAATGCATCAACGACACATTCCAGACCAACTTCACGAAACTCTAGCTGGTTTACGACGTCTCGTTAAGTGAATATGTTAGCTGAATCTCAATACATCAAGTGAATTTGAAGAGCAATGTTCTTAATTTAAGGTGATTTTTTGGCTGGTGATGTATTCGTGAAACTCGTCACTGATCCGTTAGGTTGTAAACTATTGTCAAAGGTTGATTGCGGGTTTCAAAATATAGCCTGACTGTTAGACACGTAACTTTTTTGTTATTAACAGAAGTAGAAAAAGATATTGTGGATATATGATTTTACTGATAATTCAAACCAACGAACCAAACGACCAAAACTTTCAGTAAGCCAAACGCGCGCTTACAAAACGTGCGCAAATCTCTTATAAAGACTGAATAATATTTCCGTAATCATTACCTATTGCAAATCCTTAACTCTACATACACATTAGCTTTCTGGGAGAGAAATGTGCATAAATTGGGGAACCCTGTAATGAGGATTAAATTACTCCAGAAGGATTATAAAGGTGCACATTTATTTTAACACCTCCGTAAATTTGAGCCATCCTAGCCCTTTGGGCTACAAATCATAACGACATATCATGTTCTGTGGGTGTGTAATAATGCACATCGTCCACACACAAAATCTTTTTTATTTCTCTTTTTGAAAATGGCAAACTTTCAAAGGAAAAAATTGAAGATTGTTCTTACTTTATATCGCCGTTTGACCTTATTGTTTTGCATTACGGTTGCCTTTTAATAATTTTATAACCTTAAGAAAAACTTTCATGTTAGAATGAAAACTTAGTATAATATATCATTAAGTAATCTGTTATTCACCTGAAGCTGTCTCCTCGCAGGTATTTGTGAAAACAACAGAAATCAGAAGCAAATCTTTTAATTCGCTATTTATAAATAAACAAAACGGTAATACAGGCGCAGGGAATCGTGAAATCTATTTGTGTTGTGATACAAATTCCTCCTGCCCTAACCTGGGTGGGAACTAATATGAAGTGTCATGATATTAAGAAAATGCTATAATGTTCCCATAATTTTGCCCAAAAGAATAGTTAGTAAAGATTAAATAAAATTATTCATATGAAGAGTATTTCTTTTGTAATTTTTCATCAATTTCATTGATGAATATGTGAAAGGAATTTTGTCGGTGGTCTGGACTGTAGTGAATGACGTCACAGGCGATTTCACCTGGTGATATGCATAAAAAGGTCGTCTGCATCACCACTAATCCTGAAAAGAAATACCTGTGAATGGATTTACAGGGAAAACAATATCTTTCTGAAACGAAAAGTTGTTACATTTCATATGGGAACGAGGGGTCAGAAAACAACCATTGCCAAACATTCATGATCATATTTGACAATCCACATGGGCATAAAACACACCGAAATGATTCTTCAATGTAGGTGATCAAAGTTGAAGAAATCTTGAAATGGACGGACCTGCGCGTGGGGTAAGTTTATTCATTTTGTTTCATTTATAGACAGTTTGAACACGTAAATAACAGGTTGCTACGCTGATTATGACGACCAGTTGGACCTCAGGCTAGCATGATTAAGCTATGTAGTTGCCACTAAGAATTCTTTTTGTTAGCCTAATGAAAAAATTGGTTTGAAAATTTAGAAAATGCTTTTGAAATTAGCTATATGCCAATGAAACAAAATTACTTAGTATAATATTTCCTTTAGAAAGAAAAAAACCCCTAAATGCTTTTGTTCCAAGTAACATAAGACTTGTTTTACTTCAGTCAGGTCGTAGGGTAAGTGTTTTGAAGGCATGTATATGAAAATAATCCCTGTTGCCCAGGAATAATGAATATGGAATGGAGTTAGTCCCAAGTGACCTACAAGAGGGTAATATAAAGCTGATACCAATGATAAAAATAAAATAATGTTTATCATAAAGTCCATAACATGTAGGCGTTTTGAGTACACGATGTTTTACAATCCGAGTTGTCTACTACGTGTAAATTACAATCTGAATAACTAAAATGAAATTAACCTCATATTGTTCAAAGCAGATTTTAAGCAGCGCTTGACACTGACGATTCATGACGGCTTAATTATAACCTGCAGAAACCATAACATGAAAACGTTCCCCAGGAATTATTTTCACATGAAAGAGTTTTGTCTCGTATATCGCTCACTGCAGGAAGCCGGTGCACATCGCAGAATATTCAAGCGATCGTAACAAAAAAAGCTACAGGAAAAATGAATATCAAACCGCTGTAGATTCTTGAGGCTGCTGTGAATCAATGTCCGTCCATAGGTGTATTGTTACGCTTGACAAGGTCAATCTTCATAGTAACATCTACGGTTTTTATTAGTGTTTTTTCCCCTTCTCTCTTTATTAGTGTTTTTCAGTAAAGTTAAAAACAGGTTGTATCAGCAATGTAACCCCGCTTCAAGTTTACTTGAAAAAGCTGTTATTTTTATATTCGTAGGCCTACTTAGGTCAGTAGCTGGATCCTTTTGCATTCATCGTGACTTCACGTTGTCTTGAAAACCACCATGCAAAAGTAAAAAAAAAAAAGCAAAATAAAGCTTCGAAACGAGCATGCCTGTGACGAAAGTAATTGGAATTTTTTATACTTTTTTCTGCCAGGCGAGTAAGACTCCAGCGGATAGTTTTGTAGGACGGAAGGGTTCGAGTAGAACGTATTTGAGCCGGAAGGAGTCCGGCTTGAAGAGGGTGAAATCTACCGTAGATGATTTAGAAGATTGTGACTTGGACACAGAATTAGATTTAGCAGGTATGGTATTGATGTTTGTTGTAAATAAAAGTAAATTTAACATTCATTGAAGCGAATTCGTTCACAATTTCAGAAAGATAAACGAAATTATTATCTACATGTACGTAGGCTTAGTCTTTAGCGTCTAACCTGACCAAAAACACTGGTCAAAGACAATAACATACTGTATAATCCTCATTTCTTTCTTTATTTTAAAGAGAGAAAGCGCACCTATGATTCCACCGGACAAGTAGCATATGAAAATGCATGTATCAAATTTAAGATCCCCCAGGCCAACACATTTCACAGAAAACTGGAACACGCCAAGGAAGTGGACATGAAGTATTATGGGATAGGACCCAAGGGTGCTCTGGCGTTAGCAATCCCCCTAGTGGTACGACTCTGAGTACTTTGATAGAGTGTAAATCGTTTTGGTATTATGCCGAATTTTCAGAAGTGTACCTTTTATAATTTATCAAAAAAAAAAAAAAAAAAAAAAAACAGTTTATTAGTAATTGGGAACAGAAAGATCACTGAATATGCTTGATAACCCTATCATAATAATACTGTTTTTTTTTTAAAGCTCTGTCTAAATATATTTAACTCATTGGTTTCAGATTAATACCAAAGTAACTAAACTGAATCTCCGTGGAAATTCTCTTGGTGTTGAAGGAGTGGACAATATATGTAGAATGATGGAAGAAAACTCCATTATCACCGATCTCGTAAGTATGACGAAAATTAAGTACCACGTTAATGTTGATCATTTCCGTCATCTTATACCGTGTTTTCGCGCCAAATCTAATTTTCCTCCCTAGAAAAATTCCATTAGATTCAATGTTTTGTTCAATTGGATTCCAATCGGATAACTCACTTTTATGATTATTTTATTCCGCCATGTTTTTTTTTACTTCTCAGAAGAAAATATCGACATATACTAGTTACTTTTATTTGAGGGAATTTAATCGTTTTCAAGGTCTACATTAGAAAAAATAAGTATTTTTTAAGATATTTAGTCATGAAATTATGACATTTTCAAACACTTACAGTCACAGTATATACCTCTAACAGTACTGAGTAAATAGGAAAACATTTAAACAATAATCAGCATCAGTGATTGATATTAAATACAATGATGAATATGTAAAATTTATATCTGCGCATCTTAAACATTTGTTAAAGCTATATACAATTACGAATTATACGTGTTAATTGTTTCTTACTTTCCAAGCATATATAACAGAAACATTTTTGACATTTTCAGAGATTTCATCCTTATCTTTATCGTATGTTTTACGCACATTTACTGAAATTTCTTTATGACCTTTCCAGGACCTATCAGAAAATGACGTGAGCGGTCGCGCCACTAAAATCATCGCACAAATGTTGGTTGTTAACCAAACAATTCAAAGATTGACTCTCGAAGGTAAGGGTTTCTCTGTTGTAGTGAGTGTGGTACTCATAATAATAGCTGTACGAGGTTGAATTAGCGTACGCATTTTACTTGCTCTAACATACAAAATGCGTACAGGCGTGTCTGCGTACTTAATGCGTACCTGGACGGAGAAAACTTTGTCTCAGATTACTTTGTATAATTACCTTTAATGAAGGAGTTAAATCTTTTAATCACATGTTAATCTTTGAATTTCAGAAAACGGTTTAACAGACCAAGACGCAAAGGTGCTAGTTGGACCCGTGGAGGTACGTGCCTAAATACTGCTTGAAATAAAAATTGTTTTTTTTTTTTATTGACAAACTTAATAAATGTGCCCCTCTATTAATCTTGTTTGCTGCATATATGTACGTTTTTTTTCCCTGTATTAATTATTAGTTTTGATTCAGTTTATTAATTTCATTCTTTTTCACTTTCCACAACAACAGCTTATGGAAGTCTCTTAAAATTAAACTGTTGCAAATGGAAATGTACTTCCAACTTTTCAAATACCTACGGGCTATTTCCATTTTATTTTTCTTATTCCAGGACCATTCATCTCTTATTTACCTAAACCTCAGTCACAATAACTTTGGAATACAATCCGGTATCTTATTTCAGAAAATGATAGGTGAGCCATGAATGTATTGTATAAATCACTATCCTATGGCTATTTTCGATAATCGTAACGAGCTAATCACGTTTAATCAACTATCAAAAATAGTACCTCTGATATCAAAAACTGGGATCAAGAAGTGCATTGTGATCATTAATAATGAAGTAATCCTGCCAAACAGACGGTCACTGTGAAGTTATTCAAGACGGATTTTAACACTACGATTGGGTGTTAACAAAGTAAACATAGCACACTCGTTTATTCTTTTCTATTCTTATGTTTATTATTCAGAAAACGGAATGCTGGAAGAGCTTGACTTGAGCTGGAATCAAATACGCGGTGACGGTGCTCTGGCCATATGTAGGGGAGTCAAGGTAAAATAATTTCATGATTTTAAAAGCCAGTTTCTGTAAAACATAAATGTTAATAACTATAATTTAAAGAAGCAGTTTTGATGTCTCAACACATGTAAAACTTCGTGAATTTTTTGGTTTTACGACGTTTTGAGACGTACACGTATTACGTTTAATAGCAAAAAAATGATAATAGATAAAAAACATAAATAAATAAATAAATAGAATAAAAAATAAAAATACAGAAATATAAATGTAAATATTTTTCCAGGAAAACAATTCTCTGAAGATTCTTAACATGTCATGGAATGGTCTCGCCGAGGAAGGGGCCATCAGCATGGGGCAGGCGCTTCAGGCCAGCCGCACCATGACTGAGCTAGATATCAGCTCCAACAGAATTAACGATCAGGGGTTTCTTATTCTCATCAAATCCCTCCGGGACAACGACACACTCAAGACTCTTAAAGTAAGTGGCATTACGAATACAGCACAGTATTGAGTCCACCTCTACTTTTGTTCTGAAATTTAAAGCGTGTTCTTATATTTGGTTTCATGGAGAAACCAAACGCATTTCTTTCCCATGTCACAACATGGGTTGGTAGCATTTATTATTGGAAGTGTTTTGTAGTGAAAATTGTTTAAATAGAGTGGGCTTTTATTTTCAAACCACGAAAGTGTTGTTTTTAAATTGCAATAATATATTGGTGGGCGAGCGTAAATTTTTTCTTAGAAGATCAAGAATTGAGAATATTTTAGTAATTCTTCGTTTAATCATTTTCAGGTTGGACAAAATCCTATTACGGAGGATGCAGTGCTGGCTGGCCTGGAGGTGCTGAAGGAGATCGACTCTCTGAAACTAGAGGTGCTGGAACTCATTGTAAGTCGCTGGGGTAATACTACAATGTATGACACGCTCGCGCTCACGCGCACAAATACACATGCACACACGCAGAGAGACAGAGAGAGAGAGAGAGAGAGAGAGCGTTTTCACATAAGCCATAGACTAACTTACACAGCTAAATAATGACTGATATATTTTTTTAGGAAAACATATACACAAGCAGAGTAGACGAAAAGATAGAAGAGGTGCATGAAAAACACGAGAACTTCACTTGTAACCATGGTTACGCACATTCTTATGGAAAACGAAAGCTTAAGGCGTTTGATGTCGTAGAAGAAGCCATGACATTCCTTAAGAACTACATCGCAGAGCACAACATGAATTTAGTGGAGCTTTTTGCCAGTTTTGATCAAGACGGGAGCATGAGCGTTACGTATGATGAATTCAAGGAAGGGTTGAAGGTGAGTGTTCATAGTTCCAAAGTAGGCATAAGGCTGATTTTCATGAAATAAAGTAAATTGGAATGGAAATAAATGTAAGCTTTTTTATTGCGATCATTTGTTTACAACAACAGCTAAGATCAGATTAAATTTTCATATTATATTTTCGTAATCCCGAGTATTTAGCACAGCTGATGCTCAGCTTCAACTTGATTCTCAAGCAATATGTGAGGGTGGTTTGGAAAATGATTTATTACATTTAATTAATCTGGATTTTAGATGGCACGAATTCCTATGACAGCTCTGCAAGTGGAATACCTTATTCAGGGTCTTGACGCGGATGGCGACGGCGAAATTGACTTCGGTGAACTTGTTGTTGGCGCGGAAGAACACGACAAAGCTACTAAAGGCAATTAAAAGAGGGCGCTCCTGGAGTATTCCATGTGTCATGAAGCCATGTGTTTACATTAAAAAGCTTTTGCGTGAAAATTAAAGCAGCGTTGTTGCTATGATAAGCCTATTACTTGCATTTAGTGTCATAAAAATATCTACAGTTGCTGCTTTCCAATGTTGAAACACCATTGTAAATAAGGGTGAAATTAAAATGAGCTTGATACCGTTACCCTGAGTGTCAGAGCAACGTAAAAGCTATCTTGTTAAATATATATACCTTGTGATGGAGTCGCTTTTACTAGTATTGTTGATATGGGTTATATATGAAATCAAGATCGAGCTGGCAATACCGGAATCTAGAACCTAGGGTAGATACCGTGAGCCTATGGATAAAACGAACTACATACTGTCTCATGGTTGTACTGCGCACTATTTTCTAGAGGATATGTATGAACTTCTTTATAAATGACCGAAGTCTAGCAAAAAATCAAAATTAATTTAATTTAGTAGCTGTATAAGCTAACTGTATTTTCTAACATGCATTTTTTTTTCAGATTTTTAACCAGATTTTTAAACATGTATAACATTTAATTTATCTCGATGGGAAAAATCCATATGACGATTGTAAAAGGATTGTGTGGGTGTTACGCAAAACACTTAAATGACTGAGGTGCTAAGATAAGCGTGATGGAGGGGGGGGGGGAGAGGCTTAAAATCTTATGTGCTTTTCTTACTAATTGTGATGTAGCATTTTTCGAAGTCGTTTTAATGAAATAAAACATCGAACCGAGTACATGTATGTTGGAGTCATTATTTGTATTATTTTTATAAAAAAAATAATGAATATTTTATATTTAGACGCACAATCAAAATAAAGAAAAGTCGGATACCTCAAATTTAAAATACAACAGTACACATTGCTCATGACGTTGAAGTGCATGCTCATATGTGTGACCATGCAGGTAACACTAGGTGCTACTGCCTCGAGACTTGATTGTGTTAGGTGCGCTACTGTTTGCTCAAGATGTCAATAGGGGATTTTGGTGAAATCTAGGAAGTACGATGATTCAGGAATAGGACCATATCATAAGACTCAAAGTTCCGTCTCAAGAACAGTGTGATTTTTCTTCATTATGTATTTACTATTCAGTTGTATTATATTGTTCCTTGGCGTACCCAGTGTAGGCTCCCAAAACACAGGTAAGGCAAGTTGGTGTGTATACCCAATACGCAGGTAAATCTAGTCTAAGGCTAACCTTACATGATGAGCTATAATAAAGAGTTCATGGTGGATTTCAAAATTTGATTAGATCTGCATTTGGACATTATAGCCTTACTCTAAAGTGGACGGTATAAGACAGATGGAAGATGTATTTGTAGAACAATCAGGCCTTCTGGAAAAAAAAAGGTTAAGTCCCCGGTAGGCCTAATGCTAAATTTCTAACATTTCAATGGGGATCTCTCTTACAGGAAGTTTCTGGCACGTAACCGACTTTCACTTTGATCCAAGTTACACGTCCAGTCGCAACTCGTGCCACACAGAGGCTAAACAGCGTCCGCTTGGTCAGTATGGCGACTATCTGTGCGACTCCCCGTATGCTCTCATTAACAGTTCCATGTACGCCATGAGGGACATAGAAGATAACCCGGACTTTATTATCTGGACTGGGTGAGTCAAACAGGTTGACAGTGAGTAAATACACGCCCATCATACCACTGTGTAAAATGGGTCACCTGCATTAGGCTTTACATGTACCCATTCTTATTTTCTACTACCTGCAAATAAAACGTAGAGAAACGAGAAGTAATAATGCGTTGAGTCCATAATATGTTACTATGATTTTCTCATTGAAGGCGTTTCCACGTCGATCTGATCTACACAATAAGCATTTACTTATTTGTACTTACAAATATCACACATAAAAATTACTCTTATAGCGTTTCGAAATACTGGTAGTAACACATAGATCAATGTATAAAGATGAATAAAAAAGAATTATCAATTTAATAAGTCTTATCTGGTACTTTCAGAGACGACACACCTCATACCTCTAACGATAACCTTGATGAAAGTAAAGTCCTGAGCATGATCCTGAACCTGACGCACCTGTTAATGGAGGTATTTCCCAACACCCCTGTCTATGCCGCCCTGGGTAACCATGACTACCACCCCAAGCACCTGATGCCGCCGCATTCTAACCCTATCTACAATGCCGTGGCTGACAGCTGGAAGGCGTGGTTTAGAAACGACGTGGCCGAGCAGACTTTCAGAAATGGTGAGCCGGGCTGGAGTAGTTGGTGATGGGCAAACAATTTAAACGTCGATGTTAACATTGAATACTAAAATAGACAGAGTGACATCTGAACTGTCTATTACCTCTGTCAGGTAGGAATATATGTCTAATTATCGCACCTCGCTGATATTAATCTCTTTGTCGTTTCATTTCAGGTGGGTTTTATACCCTGCCCATGGCTCGGAACGGCAGCCGCGTTGTTGTTCTCAATACTGTGTATTATTACACCAATGACAAGTTGACAGCTAATGACAGTGACCCAGCCGGACAATTAGCCTGGCTAGATGAAGTTTTGACGAACGCAACTCTTGCCAAAGAAAAGGTCGGTTTAGTTTAACTATGGGTTCAATTTCCAAGATAATTATGAAAAAACATTTATACAAATGTTATATTTTTTAACATTTATTAAGTGCAATCTTATGAATTAATTAAATAATTTTAACACGTACACGTTACTTTCAAACCCGTTAGTGCTAGGCGAATGAAAAACTAAGGTTAAAGATATGTGGATCTCAGTGTCATATACAGGTGATTCTGAACAATTTTTTTCATTTTATAGGTTCACATTGTAGCGCATGTACCACCTGGTCACTTCGAGAGACACAGAACAAAATACTGGTTTTATCCGCAATTTAACAAAAAGTTTCAAGATCTCATCGTCAAGTTTTCGAGTGTCATAGCAGGGATGTACTTTGCTCATGAGCATACGGACAACTTTCGCTTGTTTTATAATCAGCAAGGTATAGTATTTTTTCTAACCATGACCAAGTTAGATTGATTTATCAGTTTCTTTCGTTTCAAAATGTACGGTCTCGCTGTTACTTTATAGTACAATTTTAATTGCTTAAAAGCGCATAGTTGCATGCATTGATAAAAAGCACACACAGTTTAGGGTGTCAAATGCATATTAAAAAATAAGTAACGTAAAATATTTTATCCATAGATAATCCGGTCGCAGCGATGTTTATTGCACCAGCTGTCACGCCCTGGCAAACAACATTACCCAACATGATTGGATCTGCGGCTAACAATCCGGGAATAAGGCTGTTCAAGTACAACCGTGACACCTCCCTGCCTACAGACATCTGGCAGCATTACCTGAACTTAACCCAAACAAACATGACAAACACTGCAAACTGGCAACTGGAATACAAAGCCAGTGAGATGTACGGCATCAGGGACCTCTCCCCGCAAAGTTTGAATCAACTGGTGTTGAAATTTAAACGGCAAAATAGCGAGGAGTTCAGAAAATATTACCAGTACAATACAGCTAGCATACAACCCGGGGAAACTTGCGGTGAATTGTGCAAGAAAGTGCACATCTGTTCCATCACAAAAATTGATTATGATGATTTCGAGAAGTGCGTGATTGGTGCTGTGTCCGCAGCGACCACTGTATGCGATTGGATGCTCACATTTGTCTTGTTGGGCATTAATGCCGTAATAGCATTAATTGCAGCCAATTAAGAAAAGCAGTGTTTAAAAGAACTAAACTACACTTGTTTCCTCATAATGATCTGATAGTCTGATGATGATCTCAATCGTATGCCTATAAGAACAATTTTTTCTCAAGAACATTTACACTGCAGGATACAACATGACATCTTAAAAATGTTCTGAATGAGGTTCTATAATAAGTCCTTGTTTCTCATGTCATAATGGTGATTTTAAGACCTACACAAAGTTAAGAAACTTAATTTACAAGTCCAATTTTATAGTAGTTTGTCATTTGAAATCACAATAGCTAAACTTGGAAAATTGTAATTCATTCAGCTCTAACAGACGTTATCAAATTTAGGGGTGCTGTAGGATCGAATTACTTCTAGTTTAATAGTGGCTTCATCCCTCAGTTCTCTAGTTAATTCATCTTAATTTGTTTTGACTACTCATATAAATCGCTTTAATGTATTGCTTTATAATTCTTCCTGTGTACACTAATATCGCCGTTATGTTACTCAATTAAAACATACTCGATGCTTCACTATAAATAAAAAGGAAAAACAAATACAAACGAGAACAAATGGTATTGCTTTTCTTGAGTTTTGGTTGGCCCTGAAAAGGGCCTTTGGTATGAAGAAATACAATCTTCCTTCACTTCTTAGCCGGCTTCTTGGCTGCTTTCTTTGGAGTCTTCTTCGCTGCTTTAGCCTTGGCAGCGGGTTTCTTTGCTGTTTTCTTGGGTGTCGTGGTTTTCTTGGTAGCTTTAGGTTTGGCAGCTTTCTTGGGGGACTTCGTGGCCTTCTTAGGTTTAGTCGCCTTTTTGGTAGCTGCCGGTTTCTTAGCCTTCTTTGGTGTGGCCTTGGGCTTCTTGGGTTTCACCGTTTTTGGTTTCTTAACCTTGGGTTTAGCGGCAGGCTTCTTAGCAGCTGCACCTAGTTTGAACGAACCAGATGCACCGGTCCCCTTGGTTTGCACCAACGTACCAGCGAGCACGGCACTCTTCAGGTATCGCTTCATAAACGGGGCCAGCTTCACGGTATCCACCTTGTAGGTAGCGGCTACGTATTTCTTAATAGCAACAAGGGAAGACCCTCCTCGTTCCTTCAGATCACGAATGGCAGCGTTGACCATCTCTGCTACAGGAGGGTGAGCGGCTGGGGCCTTGGGCTTCTTGGTCTTGGTCGTCTTTGCAGCTGGAGCTTCCATCGTAGTTGAGTTCGCTGAGGTAGTCACAGACAATATTCGGAGACTTCTACAGTTGAATGAGATGTCCGAAGGATGCTGCCCATCTTAAAGCCTGGCGCGGACCTCTTAGAACACACCGCCATAGATGTATCCCGCCTCCGCTTAAAGCTTAACGCTGTGTTTGTTGACAATATTTAATTTGATAATTTTTATATTTCTGGTTTGAATTTTTCAAAGAATTTGATATTTTTCGAAAGCTAGATAATATGTGTTTGCAGTAGTACAGAAATTTACTAAGTTCAAGGAGAGAAAAGAGAGAAAAAACTACGCTGAATGAAAGTAACCAAGAATGAGCGAGCAATTTTCTCTTTTCAAATGCATTTTATATCCTTTCAGATAATTAAAAAAGAGGTTATATGTATATGTCTTAGTAGCTAAATATTGCAATTTGTTATTTTGAGAAATTGAAATAGTAGGTACGACTTGTAAATATTTTATTTTTAATATTTTGGGACACCTCACAAACACATCAAAGGGACCTCGTCCATGCATCCTCCTGTGGGGAAGTCGTTACTCATGGATACCTTTAAGGTGTTAAATTAATGATATCTCGGACGTATACAGTGTATATCAGTCTTTGAAGAAAGAAAAAGTGTGGAAATGTACAAGCATAGATATAAAAGACATTTTGATATGTCATGATAGTTTATCCATGATGACTTATCATGTACTGCAGTAGTGGTCTTTTAACTACGGATCGAGGATTGAGTTTTGCGTAGTTCATAACTGTGCCTAGCTTCGTGATTCTATCCCTTTTTTAAACTTAAGGTAAATTTTACAAAAAAGCATCGCAGATTGATTAGGGTTTTAAAAATAAATAAATAAAATCAGCATCTACATGTATTTTGATGATAAAAAACAGTTTCACTGCAAAATGCAGTGTGCAAGTATATCAGTGCAAGAGCCGTCTAGAATTACCTTTGTGTCGATATGCTTTGCAAAATTGATATTTCATATTTCAAGCGTGCACAGTTTTCAAAAAAGATTGAAACTTCATTCTATTATTTAACCAAAAATTGCAGTGGGGGGGGGGGGGGGGGGGGGGGGGCACAATACCATGGATTGAGCGGGGCATTATCTCATTCAAAATAACCACGCCGGGGTAACTCATAGCTGTGATGTTTTATGTCAACTTCACATCTCATCACACGAGCGTCTGTTTTTATTTCAACAAGAAAAAAAAACAGAAATAAAAGAGAGACACTTCAGAACGAAAGAAATGTCCACAGAGGGATGGACTGACCTAGCACCTTTCATCTGTGATTTTCGGCAATGCATTGGAACGTATCACAGATCTTATCAGCTTTGGCAACAATGTAGCCTCTACCAGGGCAGCAGTTATTATTCTGTGGACATTTTAGCTGAGGCGTGCACTGAAATAATAATGATGTATAGGTATGTGTCGGCGAAGCCGACACGGGAAAGTTACGAAGTCTCGTGCATTGANTTTTAGGGTGTCAAATGCATATTAAAAAATAAGCAACGTAAAATATTTTATCCATAGATTATCCGGTCGCAGCGATGTTTATTGCTCCAGCTGTCACGCCCTGGCAAACAACATTACCCAACATGATTGGTTCTGCGGCCAACAATCCGGGGATTAGGCTGTTCAAGTACAACCGTGACACCTCCCTGCCTACAGACATCTGGCAGCATTACCTGAACTTAACCCAAACAAACATGACAAACACTGCAAACTGGCAACTGGAATACAAAGCCAGTGAGATGTACGGCATCAGGGACCTCTCTCCGCAAAGCTTGAATCAACTGGTGTTGAAATTTAAACGGCAAAATAGCGAGGAGTTCAGAAAATATTACCAGTACAATACAGCTAGCATACAACCCGGGGAAACTTGCGGTGAATTGTGCAAGAAAGTGCACATCTGTTCCATCACTAACATTGATTATGATGATTTCGAGAAGTGCGTGATTGGTGCTGTGTCCGCAGCATCTACTGTATGCGATTGGATGCCCACATTCGTCTTGTTGAGCATTAATGCCGTAATAGCATCAATTGCAGCCAATTGAGAAAAGCAGTAATAAAGGGAACTTAATTTGATTAGTCAGAATGATCTGATATCCAATCTCAATCTTATGTCTATAAGAACAATTTTTTTTCTCACGAATATTTTCACTGCAGGATAAAGCATGACTTCGTAAACAACATTACCCATTGTTCTGAATGAGGTTCTAAAATGTCTTTGTTTCTCATGTCATAATGGTGATTTTAAGACCTACACAAAATTAAGAAACTCAATTTACAAGTCCAATTTTGTAGTTTGTTTTGTCGTTTGTAATCACAAAAGCTAAACTTTGTTTAGCGTAGTCAAATTTAGGTATGTTGTGGGATTGAATTACTTCTAGTTTAATAGTGGCTTCATCCCTTACTTTATATCAGTTCAAATCAGCCTCAGTTCTGGTTAATTCATCTTCATTTGTTTTGACTTCTTGTATAAATCGCTTTGCTGTATCGCTATATTAATATTGTTACTCAATTAAATCATACTTGATGCTTCACCTATAGAAAAGGAAAAATATAATATTTCGAACAAGAACAAATGGTATTGCTTTTCTTTGAAGATTTGGTTGGCCCTGAAAAGGGCCTTTGGTATGAAGAAATACTATTTTCTTCACTTTTTAGCTGGCTTCTTGGCTGCTTTCTTTGGAGTCTTCTTCGCTGTTTTAGGTTTGGCGGCGGGCTTCTTTGCCGTTTTCTTGGGTGACGTGGTTTTCTTGGCACTTTTGGGTTTGGCAGCTTTCTTGGGGGACTTCGTGGTCTTCTTAGGTTTAGTAGCTTTCTTGGTAGCCGCCGGTTTCTTAGCCTTCTTAGGTGTGGCCTTGGGCTTCTTGGGCTTCACTGCTTTGGGTTTCTTGACTTTGGGTTTAGCGGCAGGCTTCTTAGCAGCTGCACCTAGTTTGAACGAACCAGATGCACCGGTCCCCTTGGTTTGCACCAACGTACCAGCGCCCACGGCACTCTTCAGGTATCGCTTCATAAACGGGGCCAGCTTCACGGTATCCACCTTGTAGGTAGCGGCTACGTATTTCTTAATAGCAACAAGGGAAGACCCTCCTCGTTCCTTCAGATCACGAATGGCAGCGTTGACCATCTCTGCTACAGGAGGGTGAGCGGCTGGGGCCTTGGGCTTCTTGGTCTTGGTAGTCTTTGCAGCTGGAGCTTCCATCGTAGTTGAGTTCGCTGAGGTAGTCACAGACAAATCGGAGACTTCTACAGTTGAATGCTATGTCCGAAGGATGCTGCCCATCTTAAAGCCTGGCGCGGACCTCTTAGAACACACCGCCACAGATGTATCCCGCCTCCGCTTAAAGCTTAACGCTGTGTTTGTTGACAATATTTAATTTGATAATTTTTATATTTCTGGATTGAATTTTTCAAAGAATTTGATATTTTTCGAAAGCTAAATAATAATTATTTGCAGTAGTACAGAAATTTACTAAGTTCAAAGAGAGAAAAGAGTAAAAAAACTACGCTGAATGAAAGTAACCAAGAATGAGCGAGCAATTTTCTCATTTCAAATGCATTTTATATCCTTTCAGATTATTCAAAAAGAGGTAATATATATATGTTTAGTTGCTGAATATTGCAATTTTTTATTTTGAGAAATCAAAATAGTAGGTACGACTTGTAAATATTTTATTTTTAATATTTTCGGACCCCTCACAAACACATCAAAGGGACCTCGTCCCCGCATCCTCCTGAGGTAAGTCGTAACTCATGGATGGTGTTAAATTAATGATATCTCGGACGTATACAATATATATCAGTTTTTGAAGAAAGGAGAAGTGTGAAAATGTACAAGCATAGATATAACAGACATTTATATGCAATGATAGTTTATCCATGATGACTTATCATGTACTGTAGTAGTGGTCCTAACTACGGATCGAGGACTGAGTTTTGCGTAGTTCATAAGTGTCTCTTGCTTCGTGATTCTACCCTTTTTTTTAAACTTCAAATGAATTTTACAAAAAAAGTATCGCAGATAGTGTCGGGACGGAAAAATAAAATCAGCATCTACATTTATTTTGATGATAAAAAGCAGTTTCACTGCAAAATGCTGTGTCCAAGTACATCAGTGCATGAGCCGTCTAGAATTACCTTTGTGTCGATATGCTTTGCAAAATTAAGATTTTATATTTCAAGCGTGCACAGTTTTCAAAAAGATTGAAACTTCATTCTATTATTTAACCAAAAATTGCAGAGGAGGACCCATAATACCATGGATTGAACGGGGCATTATTTTATTCAGAAGAACCACGCCGGGGTAACTCGTAACTGTAATGTTTTATGTTAACATCACATCCCATCACACGAGTGTCTGTTTTTATTTCAACAAGAAAAATAAAATAGAAATAAAAGAGGGACACTTCAGAACGAAAGAAATGTCCACAGAGGGATGGACTGACTTCGCACCTTTCCTCTGTGATTTTCAGCAATGCATTGGAACGTATTGTAGATCTTATCAGCTTTGGCAACAATTATGTGGACATTTTAGCTGTGGCGTGCACTGGACAGAGATTAGCCATCTATTTAACCGGAGACGTATCTGTTAATATTTCGTGAAAAATCAATCTGTGGCCCTGGTAGAGGGTAGCAACAATGCATTTCTCACGTGATTAAATATCATATATCTCGTTGTCGTTTACTGTCCTCAGTCTCTGTAATCAGGCGTGTACAATCGGCTGACTACAACTGCGCTGTCCCCATCATGTTCGCTCTGAGGTGGATTCCGAACATGTTTCTATGGATTGGGATATGTCAAGGTTTGTTATTTCATTTGTATAACAAAATATTCTCGTCACTAGCCTTATTTGAAATTGTCCCAAAGTAATAAACCTTTTCTACATATCCTGCGAAGCCACTGTACTTATTTTTTCCCAATTCAGAGCTTAGCAACATCAAAACTCCTCCAATAAAAAAAATTCATAAGTCGATATTTTCTTCTGAAATGTATGGGAAGACATGGCGGCAAACGTTTAGTTAAGGGAAATATTTGAACTAAATTATTTCATCAAAATGGTATTAAATTGTGCACAGACGGACCGAGAAATGATTTGGAAGTTGAAAAGAAAAATGCTGTCCATATTATTTTCATATTATAGAAATACATTTGTGATCAAAATGAAATATGCTCAGACTTTGCACTACATATAGCTAAAACTTAAATGCAGGTGCACTAATCCATTATTACTTAATGTCATCATAATTCATGACTTAAATTTCATATTTGTACGAAGTTTAACTTTATATTTGGACTAAGATGAAATTACAATAATTAATATCGGCAGGGAGATTGACGCTCAGGGCGCTCAGTCCGGTTATGAAAACCCGTCCTCATCATAAATGCCGATATGAATAACAAATGAATATAAGTCACGATAACATAGGTGATAATGTGCACTTGGGCCACTGTTACAGCCACCAATTTGGCCATTATTAGGTGCAATAATTATTATATTTATTGTTGTTGTTGTTTGTGTATGAATTGATTTATTGTGCTGTCCAGTGCTTTTCTATTTATAAAAGGGTCTTGAAATAAATTCTCGTCCACTTTCTGCTACAAAATTTACATAATCAATACCACATGATATAATTAGCATTAAGCACTGTATTTGGATATGTATAGGAAGGTATGTTCTCTATTTTTCCGTTTTGTTTGTCTTTGCTTTTTAATTTTAAATTTGCGTAATTTGCAGTTGTCAGATGTCAAGGTGACCAGCAGTCCATAGATTACCTGGCCTCTTTCCTTCAGGTGCGTTATGACGTCATTGACAACCTCATGTACGGGGCTTCGGGGTTTCTCGCTCAAATTAACTTCACTAACGTGGGACCAAAACCCATTTCCAAAGGGCACTGGTCTATTTATTTGTGCCATATCAACATGATTGAACCCAACCACCTTCCGAATCCAAATGGTTATATTCTTGGGAATTCGAGTTTGAGGGCGTTTCACGTGAACGGGTGTCTCTTCAAGTTGACTCCTACAGATTCCTTCAAGACTTTGTTCCCGGGTAAAAGCATAATGGTGCCTTTTAAAGCAGCAAATTGGCAGGTAGCGAGGACCGACATTATGCCGAACTGGTGAGTCTTAAGAATGCATTGAACAGCCTTCTACAAATTCATCAATGCCAAACTATGCCCACAGTGGAGCTGGGTGTTTCCAGTAGAATTCCATGATATAGTACCGCTTTGTATGTATTATATTTGCAAATTTATAAGTCATATATTGATCAGAAAAATTTATGAACTGGCTTACGTTTTTTATTTAGTTAGTTATCTTATTTATTTTTTTATTTTTGGACATGTCACATGTATTTTCAAAATGTTCGATTTTCATTTGAAAGGTACGTAGCAAGTTCAAAATCTGGAATCTTACCCAAAGTGTTAAAGAGCACTGCTGGGGAGAGTCTGAGTTTTGTGGGGCCCTTCAACACCCCCCAAAAATGGAAAAGATACAGCTTTGATGTATATAATCCCTACACTCCCGAACAAAGATATCACATCAACAGTGAAGTCAGAGATCTTGGCAGCGCGGGTACAAGTATCGTACCATCTCCTGTTGAAATGGTGGCTGACGAAAGCAAGATGGTGGATTTGGGGACGGGGGACTGGGTACTTTTTGCCGACCCTGCGTTCAAGAATGAAGTGGCGTTTTTGACAGGTAGGAGAAATGTTAAAGTGTATCTAAATAATTCGGAATAGTCAAGATAACAAAATTCGCAATTAGAATAAACTGTTAATAAAAAAGCCGTTTTTTGCCGTGCATTTGATCCATTTCCCGTTTTTTAAAATTTCATTTGATTTTTTCATTTTCCTTTGATTTTCATTTTACTTCATTTTTCCTTATTTCATATTATATATTAATTATTTTTTGTAATAAATGTCATTATGTAATTAATTTATTTTTCATTGTAAACTTTTCAGCCAGACTTCACCTTCGCATCGTCCCAAGACCAGCATCAAGTAAATGCATCGCTTTTACACAAGGCCAAGTACTTATTAAAGGACGCGTCAGTAAGAGTTCAGAAGCATATACGCTACACGTCTTCGAGACCAACCAAACAATTCGGATTGTAGCTGCAGGTCCAGCTGGCGCTTTTTATGGCATACATTCTATACTGAGCCTCCTAACTTCCAACAATAGTATACCGAAAGTGGCCATCAGCGACGAGCCCAGGTATGAATTCCGTGGATTTTCCATAGATTTATCGCGTAATTTCCATCCGGTGCAAGATATACGCCAGTTACTGGATCTTCTGGCCAGGTATAAAATGAACCGTCTTCATCTTCATGTTACTGATGACGAAGGGTGGAGGCTTCAAATACCGGGACTGGATGAACTCACAGCTGTATGTTAAAGTTTCTTATGTCTGATGCAGTTGTTCTGTAAAAATCGATTCTGACTGCCCTCTACCTGAAAAATGATACACGTGATACATAATGAGTGATACTGTATAGAAAGTTAAAATCATATGCAAATTAATTTCTGTTTCAGCTCCTACAGTATTTTCAAAATCTTAACAAAAGTTTACTGAAGGCTTATGCTTTTACATAATAATAATAATAATAATAATAATAATAATAATAATAATAATAATCTAGTACAGTTGGCTTAGTTAAAGTTATATCTTTCATTTCTCTTCAGGTTGGTTCCAAGCGTTGTCACACCCTTGATGAGAGAACTTGCATACTCCCCCAGCTTGGTTCCCTGCCCAATGGTACCGGGTCAGGGAGCGGTCACTACACAGTAAAAGACTACAAGTCGTTGATTTTGTACGCTAAAGCGAGACACATCTCCGTGCATCCGGAGTTCGATATGCCAGGGCACGCCCACGCAGCTATTAAAGCCACACAAGCAAGATATTATAACAAACTGGCCCAAAACGCCTCGGTTGCGGAAGCCTCGAAGTTTCTCTTGTCGGAACTGAATGACACATCTCGGTATCTCTCAGTCCAACACTTCACTGATGACGCTGTGAACCCGTGTATCAACTCCACTCTTACCTTCATCAAGTTCCTTGTAAAAAGTACACTGGATTTACACGCCCCTTATCAGCTGCTGAAATCGTTTCATTACGGTGGGGATGAGGTCTCCACAGGAGCGTGGGTGAATTCTAGCGCGTGTCGCCCTCTGTTGCCATCTCCGAACCCTACTCCTGAAGAAGTTAAGCGGTTCTTGAAGAAGCTTCTGTTAAAAGCCGTATCCAATATAACAGGTCCATTTTGCTTTTAAGTTATGTACGGTTTTTAAAATATTTTATAAAATATAAAGGTTGTTACCGTCTTGATTGTTTATAACAAACAATTGTATGTTAAAAGAACGAGTTTGGATGCGTTTAATGATGTCGTTCCATGCACTAATATTTAAACCAGATATTTCTTTAAAAAATACCCGGGTTACGATTCAGATGTTCTTTTCTGGCCCAGATACTCAATTTAACAGCTTGATTAGGTATCTACACGTGTAGTGCTTTATGGTAAAGTTTTAGTAGAATATGAATTTCTATTTTTTAAATAGTAATAATCCTCTTTCATAATATTCACATTGACTGTAAACTTTTTGTGATAAATTCAGTAGTTATATAGTAATTTTATGTTTTTTTTTTTGAGTATTTGAAATCTAATATCTCCCTTTTTGTAGCGCGTTACGGTATCTACCTTTACGCCTGGGAGGACGGGCTGATGTCTGATACAGACACGCCATATCCCAGGTCTATTTTATTCAACAAGCAAGTCATAGCAGACGTTTGGCAAAATATTTGGGAATGGGGCGTAGCCAACCGAGCATACAAATTGGCGAATGCCGGATACCAGGTATGTTTTTTTAATATATAGGTGTTGTTATACTTCACATTTGAGTAATGCTGTAGAGATTACCATTTCCTTTAGGTATTTGAATAAGAGTAGTTTATGGTGTAAATCATGGACATTTTATTTTGGAAATGAAACAATTTTACCGATTCAGATCTGACAGTACATCTGACTTAAAAACAAAAATTTANGCTCGAATAGTTTGCCTAGGCAGCTTAGCAGGCTGATCGGTCTATAATTCGTTGTTACTTTGTGATCTTTCTCAGGTTTGGGTATCATTATACCAGTCGCTTTTTTCCATATTGTGGGGAAATATCCCAACTGCAGACAGTTGTTATAAATGTCGCATAGTTTGTTTTTCAGACATACAGGCGCTTTTTTAATTATCCCGTTTGTTATTGTGTCGTCACCTGGTGACGTGTTTTTTGTATTTTTCAGATTTCCGTTAAGTTCATCTATTGTGATTTTATCTAGAATTTTGTGATCGCGTGCACTGAACAGAGATTAGCCATCTATTTAACCTGAGACATATCTGGTAATATCTCGTGAAAAATCAATCTGTGGCCCTGGTTGAGGGTAGCAACAATACATCTCTCACGTGATTATATCATATATCTCGTTGTCGTTTACTGTCCTCAGTCTCTGTATTCAGGCGTGGACTATCGGCTGACTACAACTGCACTGACCCCATAATGTTAACTCTGAGGTGGATTCCGAACATGTTTCTATGGATTGGGATATGTCAAGGTTTGTTATTTCATTTGTGTAACAAAATATTCTCGTTACTAGCCTTATTTGAAATTGTCTCAAAGTAATAAACCTTTTCTACATACCCTGCGAAGCCACTACTTATTTTTCCCAATTCAGAGCTTATCAATAACAAATTCAAAACTCCTAAAAAAATTCCTTAAGTCGATATTTCCTTCTGAAATGTATGGGAAGATGGTGGAAAACATTTATTGGCGGGAAAATTTTTGAACTAAATTATTTAATCAAAATGGTATTAAATTGCGCACAGACGGGCCGAGCAATGATTTGGGAGTATAAAAAACACTGTCCATGTATTATTTTCATATTATAGAATTACATTTGTGATTAAAATGAAATATGCTCGGACTTCGCACTATGCTAAATATAGCTAAAACTTATATGCAAGTGCACTAATCCATTATCACTAAATGTCATCATAATTCACGATTTAAATTTCATATTTGTACTAAGTTCATATTTGCACTACGATGAAATTAATAATAATTAATATCGGCAGGGAGATTGACGCTCAGGGCGCTCAGGCCGGTTATGAAAACCCGTCCTCATCGTACATGTAAATGCCGCTATTAATAACAAATGAATATAACTCACGATAACATAAGTGATAATATGCACTTGGCCGACTATTACAGCCACCAATTTGGCCATACATGTAATTAGGTGCAATTATCATTGTTGTTGTTGTTGTTGTTGTTTGTGTATGAATTGATTTATTGTGCTGTCCAGTGCTTTTCTATTTATAAAAGGATCTTGAAATAAATTCTCGTCCACTTTCGGCTACAAAATTTACATAATCAATACCACATGATATAATTACCATCAAGCAATTTGGATTATATATAGAAAGGTATGTTTTCTATTTTTCTGTTTTGTCTGTCTTTGTTTTTTTTTTTTTTTTTTTTTATTAATTTGCGTAATTTGCAGTTGTCAGATGTCAGTGTGACCAGCAGTCCATAGACTACCTGGCCTCTTACCTTCAGGTGCGTTATGACGTCATTGACAACCTCAGGTACTGGGCTTCGGGGTTTCTCGCTCAAATTAACTTCACTAACGTGGGACCAAAACCCATATCCAAAGGGCACTGGTCTATTTATTTGTGCCATATCAATATGATTGAACCCAACCACCTTCCGAATCCAAATGGTTATATTCTTGGGAATTCGAGTTTGAGGGCGTTTCACGTGAACGGGTGTCTCTTCAAGTTGACTCCTACAGATTCCTTCAAGACTTTGTTCCCGGGTAAAAGCATAATGGTGCCTTTTAAAGCAGCAAATTGGCAGGTAGCGAGGACCGACATTATGCCGAACTGGTGAGTCTTAAGAATGAACAGCCTTCTACAAATTCGTCAATGCCAAACTATGCCCACAGTGGAGCTGGGTGTTTCCAGTAGAATTCCATGATATAGTACCGCTTTGTTTGTATTATAGTCATATATTGATCAGAAAAATTTATGAACTGGCTTACGTTTTTTTATTTAGTTAGTTATCTTATTTATTTTTTATTTTTTGGACATGTCATATGTATTTTCAAAATGTTCTATTTTCATTTGAAAGGTATGTAGCAAGTTCAAAATCTGGAATCTTACCTAAAGTGTTAAAGAGCACTGCTGGGGAGAGTCTGAGTTTTGTGGGGCCCTTCAACACCCCCCAAAAATGGAAAAGATACAGCTTTGATGTATATAATCCCTACACACCCGAACAAAGATATCACATCAACAGTGAAGTCAGAGATCTTGGCAGCGCGGGAACAAGTATCGTACCATCTCCTGTTGAAATGGTGGCTGACGAAAGCAAGATGGTGGATTTGGGGACGGGGGACTGGGTACTTTTTGCCGACCCTGCGTTCAAGAATGAAGTGGCGTTTTTGACAGGTAGGAGAAATGTTAAGGTGTATCTAATTAATTCGGAATAGTCAAGATAACAAAATTCGCAATTAGAATAAACTGTTAATAAAAAAAGCCGTTTTATGCCGTGGATTCGATCCATTTCCCATTTTTTAAAATTTCATTTGATTTTTTCATTTTCCTACGATTTTCATTTTATTTTATTTTTCCTTATTTCATATTATATATATTTTAATATATAAATTAAAATTATTTTTTGTAATTAATGTCAATATGTAATTAATTTATTTTTCATTGTAAACTTTTCAGCCAGACTTCACCTTCGCATCGTCCCAAAACCAGCATCAAGTAAATGCATCGCTCTTACACAAGGCCAAGTACTTCTTAAAGGACGCGTCAGTAAGAGTTCAGAGGCATATACGCTACACGTCTTTGAGACCAACCAAACAATTCGGATTGTAGCTGCAGGTCCAGCTGGCGCTTTTTATGGTATACAGTCTATACTGAGCCTCCTAACTTCCAACAATAAAATACCAAAAGTGGCCATCAGCGACGAGCCTAGGTATGGATTCCGTGGATTTTCCATAGATTTATCGCGTAATTTCCATCCGGTGCAAGATATACGCCAATTACTGGATCTTCTCGCCAGGTATAAAATGAACCGTCTTCATCTTCATGTTACTGATGACGAAGGGTGGAGGCTTCAAATACCGGGACTAGATGAGCTCACAGCTGTACGTTAAAGTTTCTTATGTCTGATGCAGTTGTTCTGTAAAAATCGATTCTGACTGCCCTCTACCTGAAAAATGATACACGTGATACATAATGAATGATAATGTATAGAAATGAGTTAAAATCATATGCAAATCTATTTTCAAAATCTTAACAAACGTTTACTGAAGGTCTATGCTTTTACGAAATAATAAGAATAATGATAACAATCTAGTCATTGGCTTAGTTAAAGTTATATCTTTCATTTTTCTTCAGGTTGGTTCCAAGCGTTGTCACACCCTTGATGAGAGAACTTGCATACTCCCCCAGCTTGGTTCCCTGCCCAATGGTACCGGGTCAGGGAGCGGTCACTACACAGTAAAAGACTACAAGTCGTTGATTTTGTACGCTAAAGCGAGACACATCTCCGTGCATCCGGAGTTCGATATGCCAGGGCACGCCCACGCAGCTATTAAAGCCACACAAGCAAGATATTATAACAAACTGGCCCAAAACGCCTCCGTTGCGGAAGCCTCGAAGTTTCTCTTGTCGGAACTGAATGACACATCCCGGTATCTCTCAGTCCAACACTTCACTGATGACGCTGTGAACCCGTGTATCAACTCCACTCTTACCTTCATCAAGTTCCTTGTAAAAAGTACACTGGATTTACACGCCCCTTATCAGCTGCTGAAATCGTTTCATTACGGTGGGGATGAGGTCTCCACAGGAGCGTGGGTGAATTCTAGCGCGTGTCGCCCTCTGTTGCCATCTTCGAACCCTACTCCTGAAGAAGTTAAGCGGTTCTTGAAGAAGCTTCTGTTAAAAGCCGTATCCAATATAACAGGTCCATTTTGCTTTTAAGTTATGTACGGTTTTTAAAATATTTTATAAAATATAAAGGTTGTTACCGTCTTGATTGTTTATAACAAATATTGTATGTTAAAAGAACGAGTTTGGATGCGTTTAATGATGTCGTTCCATGTCGTTCCACTAATATTTAAACCAGATATTTCTTTAAAAAAAACCCGGGTTACGATTCAGATGTTCTTTTCTGGCCCAGATACTTAATTTAACAGCTTGACTACATGTAGGTATCTAGACGTGTAGTGCTTTATGGTAAAGTTTTATTAGAATATGAATTTCTATTTTTTAAATAGTAATAATCCTCTTTCATAATATTCACAGTGACTGTAATCTTTTTGTGATAAATTCAGTAGTTATATAGTAATTTTATGTTTTTTTTTTTTTTTTTTTTTGAGTATTTGAAATCTAATATCTCCCTTTTTGTAGCGCGTTACGGTATCTACCTTTACGCCTGGGAGGACGGGCTGATGTCTGATACAGACACGCCATATCCCCGGTCTATTTTATTCAACAAGCAAGTCATAGCAGACGTTTGGCAAAATATTTGGGAATGGGGCGTAGCCAACCGAGCATACAAATTGGCGAATGCCGGATACCAGGTATTTTTTTTTTTTTAATATATAGGTGTTGTTTTACTTCACATTTGAGTAATGCTGTAGAGATTACCATTTCCTTTAGGTATTTGAATAAGAGTAGTTTATGGTGTAAATCATGGACATTTTATTTTGGAAATGAAACAATTTTAGCGATTCAGATCTGACAGTACATCTGACTTAAAAACAAAAATTGACACCAAATTGACATTGACTGACAATTAATTGACATATATTTACATAAACTGACATAAACCGCACATAAATTTTGTTTCACTCCGTATTGAGCCAGTCAAACTCTTCTCCATTTCAGGTAGTAATGTCACAAGCAACTCACTTATACTTTGATCACCCGCAAGAGCTAGACCCAGAAGAGCGCGGCTTTTACTGGGCCACTCGTTTCACAGACACCAAAAAAGTGTTTGGTTTTCTTCCCGATAACTTATACGCCAACGCGGACTTCAAAAGATCTGGGGAACCAATCACGGAAAAAGAGCTGTGTAAAACCGGACAGTGTGTTCCTTTACAAAAACCAGAAAACATCCTAGGTAAAATCTTAAATGTATTATTCTAATATTTTATTCCATTTTGTTCAGTCAGTATTTGCACAGAGGTTCAAAACTTACGGCGTTTGATTATTTAGATTCATTATAATCTAGTAGGATTTTTCTCCTCCTGCCCATTAAGTATGATGTTATAACTCTCTCTTAAAATGAAAAAATCATTATTCACCGGGCGATGATGTTTTCCATTTACAGTAACAGTGCAGTTAGTTTAATTCTGAATTACACCATTTGGAATTAGTTAACAGTGACTGGTTCCCAATCGTAAAGTTTTCGTATCACACAGGAATGCAAGGCAACATATGGAGTGAGACTGTCAGAACCAGCGGTCATCTTCACGAGATGTTATTTCCCCGCGTGGTGGCGCTGGCTGAGAGGGCGTGGCATAAAGCACGATGGGAAAGCATCACAGATAAGGCTTCGAGGGATCAAGAAATGCTGAAAGACTGGGAGCGCTTTGCAAACGTACTTGGTTATAAGGAATTGCCGCGCCTTGAGTATTTTGGAGTAAAACATTACTTGCCGCTACCTGGAGCGCGGTATGTTTGAATTTAAGATAATGTTTTTCAGTTTTTTACTTTTTTAAATTGTAGTTAATGTATTTTTTGCATCGAGGTTTTTATTTTAGATATTATTAAAATTCTAAACTAAAATCAAATTAAAGATTAAAATCAGTTAGAGCAAGACAAGACCGCCAGTGCTTGTTATGAAGACAGAATAGTTTTAATATTGACAAAATAAATAATACAAAGCCACATCTTTTAAACCTTATGGGCTTCTTTTTTAGTATCAAGGATAAAACTCTAGAGGCCAACATTGCTTTCCCCGGCTATCAGGTTCAGTATTCAGATGATAAGTCTAAAACGTGGAAGGATTATAGTCAGCCAGTTCAGCTGAACAATATTGGACCTATCTATCTGAGGAGCAGGTGAGGTTATGTTGAGCTTAAAGGATATGGGGAGCGTAGTTCAATGAATTTCAGACACCGTCACACAACTCTGTAATGCAGTGAATCACCTACTTGTTGATTTTAATTAGGGTGGGTCTTACTCAGGTCCATTTTTTTCTAACAATTTCTTATTTCAAGTGTAAAATTTGAATTGAAACTTTGTACTGAATGTGACTTACTTTTGCTTCCACGTCTCTTAAAAGAATTCCTTTTAATTCAGATCGAAAAATGGACGCACGAGTCGATGGATCATTCTCAAAAGCTAAACCATGACGACTGCTGTATACAAGCAGCGGTCATATTGCAGTAGATGTGTTTTTCACGATTTCACATTGTGACTGTGTCAGAATTTTCCACTCCTGCTGCAACTGAAGGCATCTGCTTTGATGGAGACAGTGCCAAGTATTTCGTTGACACAAACTAGTGAAGAAGATTATGTGTTTCAACTATTTTGTTTTTAAAAAACATCTTACAATTGTACGTTTGTTGTGAACAGATACAACTCTTTTTCATATCCTGTTTAAATAAATGATATTTTTTCCGTTTTCATTTGTGCTCGATTAAGTATCACAAATAAAAGGAGCTAAATTGGCTGAAACCAGTATCTGTCTATTTTCTATAACACTGCCAGTCTGTTGCATCTAACGGATCTTGACTGTGAAATTTAGTCACGGTTATATGATTTTACACAGTGATTTATAGAAGAGATGTAATAAATCCCCCAGACAGCGCGTTCCTCTGCACTTGAAAGCCATGATTGTGTTAACACAACAGGAGAGGTACTATAAATTGCTTTCAGTTAAAAGCCACCTTAACTTTAAATACTGTAAAGGTTCCAATTAAAATTATTTGTGTTAATACGTAAACTTTTATTGCTCACTCTTCTCTGTGTGTAAGTAATCCTATTCTTTTGACAGTAGCGTATTCATTTGAACTACACCCAAGGTTACTGAAATACAAGACCTAGACGTCTTATCTGTTTCCTTGAATTTATTTTCCACCAAGAGTAAAATCTCTTTTGATTCGGCTGATTCTGCGCATCCCACATCTCGAGGCGGGGGTGTGACGTCACAGGGAGCAGAAGATTGATTTCGGCCTTTTGCTCCCAGTATTTGATTGCACTCGGTCGCTGCGAGCTCCGGTTTCGCGGCAGGAACGCTATCTAGCAAATTAAAGTTTATGTGAGTTTGTCATAATAACTTTACCATAATGTCACTTAGAGAGAACGCAACCCAATCAGTTAGCGAGAGTACGATGAACGGTGCAAGACATTATTTCAAGTTGCGCAACCGGGATACATTATGCTATGGCTCGGACTAATTTCATAGAAAACAACGTTTTTACTCAAAAAGATATCCAGTCAGTGGCACTGGGAAAAATTGTCGGACACAGCCGGGACATGATGAAGTTGTCTATAATGTTACTGCTCATATCGCACCTTGCCACCTCCTCGATTTATTTCGGCGAGACGGCCAAGTGTGAGCCGGTGCGTATGCCTATGTGCGCGGACATGCCGTATAACATGACACGGATGCCGAATTTGCTTCACCACAGCACGCAGGAAAACGCCATTCTGGCCATTGAACAGTATGAGGAACTCGTGAACGCGAGCTGCAGTGATGCCCTGGTGTTCTTCCTCTGTTCAATGTACGCGCCTATCTGTGCTGTGGATTTTCAGTCGGAGCCTATACCGCCATGTCGGAGTGTGTGCGAGCGCTCACGCCAAGGCTGTGAGCCACTGATGAACGAATACAACGTCTCGTGGCCGGAGAGCCTTAACTGTAACAGGCTCCCAATGTACGACAGAGGAGTTTGTATATCTCCGGAGGCTATCGTGTCCACAATGCCGTCAGGTCAGTGTGTTTTTGTATTGGGTTCAAATGTAGATTTTACCTATTTTCATATATGATTTACTTTATTTCCAGTGGTTCTTATATTTCGTAAATGTGTAGAATTTTTAAATCAAAATGTACGCCTCAGGTCAGGATCAATATTGCCAGTATTTTTCCATTGGTTTTTGATAGACATAAATTACAGGTGTCTTTCTGTGTTGAATGATTTGCGACTGGAAAATGAATGTCGATGTGAAGTTAATTCCCTCTTACTGTTAAACATTCTTTATCTCCGTCCAGCCTACGTTCTTATTATTAGCTTTTGCGTAGGCTAACGCTTTCACAAACTATCAATTAAAATCGCATAAAAGATATGTATGTTATTCAGACTGTTGTATAGTATTCTTACAATCCCCCTATCCCTTAACTGCGGTTTTGTCTGCGGCATGTCAATAATTTTAGCAATTTGCTGAGTGAACGTCCCAACTTCTTGATCTTGCTCATAAATCAATTTGTGTGAGTTTTTTTCATGCTGCTACTGTGTAGATAACAGTCCTAGCGATGACGTGTCGAAAAAAAAAATTCCAATTACTGAACTGTCTGGTTCTGGGAGCTACGGTTAGTCTCACTAAAGATTTATAGGAACCTTTACTTAACGGTGTCACTGTCTCGGGTTAGACTCTAAATCAGAGTCCAATGTATTGGTAATTATTTGCTTTAGCGGAGCAGATTGCTCAATTACTGATAAAGTAAACGCTAACATTTTTTACGACGTTGGCTATTTCCAGGCTGATTGAAAAAATCGATGTTTTGCGTGTGTGTGTGAGTGTGTATTAACCATAAAGGCAGTACTGTTAGAAATGGAGTATCTAGCTTCATTTTACACGGTTGAGCTCTGACTGAAAACCAAACGCTGACTGAAATCCAAATGCTTTTCGTTTCTCGATAGATTTGTTTCCGTCTGTTTTATCAAAACTACAGGAGTGTTACATTAGGCTTACCGCGTGTCTGACTCCGAAATCGGATGCAATTTCCATTTTTTTGTAAAGCAACAGTCACTCTAACTTAGAGGCAACTAACAAAGTATCTCTTTTACAGGGATCAAATGTATACGTGTTCTTTTGATCTCACCGCGAGCTACATTGTCGCCTCTAGTTCGGCTCCTCTTACCTGTTTCAGGTAACTAATGTACAAATTACAAATAAAGAGTACACTTTTTAAACCTTCCTTAAACGTTAGCTAAGAGAATACCTGCTCTATTTTGTAACGCAAAACGCAATTGTCATTTTTTTCCATCGCAACGACAAAGGCAAGAAGTTTGATCTTTATTCCTATTGCACTTCAAGGTTAAAAGCATCATTTATCTGTGGCAGCAACAATGAAGTTGAGAGTCCCCTGAGATGTATTCAACTATCACAAATAATAGTGTACCGGCCACTTAGCCTATACTACCGAGTTAAGACAATCTGTTTAACGGACGTGCACCTCTATAACATCCATTCTTGTAATTAATACCTCATTTGTGTTATATGTAACCTTAATTTTAGAGACCACGATGAGAGCCGGTTTCTTCATACTCACACATTTATATTTGCGATAAACGTGTTAATGTGGAGATATGAAAATGAAATAGCTGCCACACATCGGAACCGAAGAAAGACAACAAGGACTAAAGATTCCGAAAACGCGGTAAATTTTATAAAGGGCTGATACCTTGGAGATATCACAAAAGTGAACAACTATCAGTTAAGTAAACATATGCCTCCTCCGCCACCCCAAAAACAAATGTCAACAAGTAAAGATCTGTCAATAACGTGATGAAAATACACGCAACATCGTCAGTGGTTTATAGTAAGAGACTGCAGTTCAGAAAGTCGTACACTTTGTATTCAGCGTTTGCGTTTTGAACGTGAAACAGGACATGTAACAATAGCATAAAACACGATGATGTAATTTCTGCGTAAAGTTATACCACATTTTAACACTAAATCCAGCTCTCTTTAAATGCCAAGCCGCAACTGAACTGTTGTTTTTAAGTAATCTTAATAACTTTTACATTACCAAATAGCTGGATGCGAGTCGTTAAAAGCATGCCTTATTTGATTGTTATTCCTATTCAGCGTTCCTCTCTTTTCTTAATTCCCTAAAACTAAGGAACCTAACAGCAAAAACATGATTGGAAAAAAACCTTTGACTTTTTCTCAAGCGTTAGGTGTTGCTTTTTTATTTTGTTCGGAAGCCAGTAGTACGTTACTGGGGTCTAGCACTCCTATATAACCCCTTGTGTTGTTCAATTTCTGTCAGGTTTCGCGTAGTATTTAGGAAAATAATTCATGTCTTCTGAAATGTTATCTCCAGTGAGAGACATATACTACATGACCCCGCGCGTGATTGTATCGTCGTTACACTGAATCGGTACACAGGTAGGACTCGTTCTCTTTTTTCGTCAGAGCTTTATGTAAAAAAAAGAGTGAGTTATCGATTACTTATGTTGTCACATTCGTCTGACCGGTCTGTATATGAATGTCACCGAGGCAGAGATGGGTGTATAGAAAAGTAAGAAGAGTGTCTCGCCAGGTCGAAAATGTGAGCTCAGCTCTATAAATTGGAGGAGAATAGTGATTGCTTTGAAGGGTTTAGGTTAATATTCGTAATATTCGGGTTGTTTTGTTTTTTGTTTTTTAGCCTTAAAACTGGCTTTTTGACGGTAATTTTTCTTAAATAAAGTGCAGTAATCACTGAATTGCATGTAGGCAAAATCTAATCCTACTCAAATCTATAAGAATGGAGGAGGCGAACTCGTTTAACATCATATTTATGTGGCCCAAAGTACTTTGTAGTCAATTTTTAATTATAGTAAGACGTCAGCAATAGTATAAGTTTCCAAACAAGTGGTCTGAAATGTCTAAAAACTTTATGTTTCAGTTTGACCCGGTTAAATTTAGGCGAAACATGATCTGACAGCATTTCCAGTCCTGTTTATAACAAGTTGAATCACGTCTTTCCCACTGGCTGTTGTCGGTACAGTGTCGTAGAGAAAACATTGTTTAGAGCCAGACAGAAATACATTTTAAAACCACGGGGGCAAAAATGAAAGTTACGCATACTCAGAAGTTTCCACCAAAACAGTGGGAAAGTCTCACAGACGTAACACCGCTGGAGATCATGTTGTTGCATTGTATTGAATTTGTTTTTAAAAGCGAGACAAAAAATTGAAAAGGTGGAACTTCAATTATAAGGACAATGAAAGGGATGTCAGAGAATCTGAGAAAAGAATCTGTAAAGCTCGGAAAATATTGACGAATGTTGTCCGCTTCATCATTGAGTGAAATCGGCTTTCCCTTTTTAGAGAAAAAAAACGCATCTATAGATGTAGTGCGTAAATGGCGCAGTAAGATGTTATTATGCCTTGGTACAGAATCTGACTGCGTTATATATTTCAATAATTTGCAGAGTTCGTATGTTTCAAAATTTTCAAGGCAAAAAATGAAATAGAATGAAATAACGACTTTATACTAAGTGCAATGAAAGCGATAGAGCTAGAACTTTTTTTAATTAAATCGACAAAAAAGGCAAAATAGTATACATGATTATGATGATGATGATAATTCTTGAATGTTCATTGAAAAGTCTGAGAGCACAAAGAGCTGTTTGGGAACAAAACATTGAGATACATTTTATCTTCAAAAGTCGTTTCAAAACCACAATTCACAGACAGAAAATTGAAAAAAGGTTTAACGATTTGATAGATTACTGGAGTTACTTTGCAATTAATACAAATGCGTAGGTGTTTCGCCCATTCAGTGAGACACACGTTTTTGGCATATTGTGTAAAGCTTCATCTTTCATCTTAACCTTTCTTGCACTCTGTCATTGGAAGTCGTTACCTCAGCAAAACGAAGTTCACGCCATATAAACATAAAGTGAACTTATGATCAAGAATGTTATTAATTTGTTACTTTATAAACAACTTTATTCTGATTATAGAATTCATTATGTATCTGATCTATTCGGTCTATGGCAAAGTGCGAAAGAATTTTTCTACAGTAAGAATTGCCATTGTTGTAGTTTAGTATTGCAACGAAATCACGAAATAAGGAAGAGAAAGGGGATTGCAGTACTCAACGTATCTTTTTTCGTTTTTTTTTTTTTTTTTTCAAGCAAAGGTCAGGGAATTGGACATTCACCATTTACATTAAAAGGCCAGACAATAACATGAACTGGTGTTATTGTCCAATCAGCTGCTGTCAAAAGAAGAAACATTTTTTTCTTTCGACGTGTCGGACATGAACTGAGGCTGATCAAGCTAACAACAGAATAAACAAAGGCAGGAGCCGCTCATTATCCGCGGACTTTGATCGCACTAATGCAATGACGGGGATCCAGTGCCCACCGACTATTTTTATGAAATTTCCGTCCACAATCATGTGGTACAATTTACAGCAACTTCCTGTTGAACCCCGGTCTGAAGTTCTCTCAGTGCAGATTATCTGGTACTGTATCAATCCAGCTCTCTGCCATGGTTGCCATGGTTGGTTCTCGCTTGCCAAGTGGATGGGGTTCTGAACGAAACTTTGAAAGATTTTTTTGTACAGGGTTTGAATTAAGTTGTAGGTTGCCAGTGCTTTTGTTTTTACTATCTCTTTCAATCTTTTTCATTTCTGAATTTTGAACATTGAGCTTTATTTTTACGCAATAGAAAACAAGAATACCTGATATAAAAACATATGGTCAATGGGTGCTAGGGTGCTGTGACATGCTGTGTGTGTGTGTGTGTGTGTGTGTGTGTGTGTGTGTTATGGGGGTATGAGACGCTTACGGCAAAATCTCCTGATGAGAGTGTGTGTGTGTGTGTGTGTGTGTGTGTGTTGGGGGTAGTTCCCCTTCGATTCTGTACAAAGCAAGACCAAGGTGGAAACTCGCGGTCCCCACGAATCCCATAATATTACCATGGGGAAATCACCACTGCCAGAGATCAAGTTTGCACCGTTTTTGCTGTATCTAATTATTCCCTCAATTTCAGACACAGGTAAGGAGGCAAAAGAGAAGCATCAAGTTAGAAACGCAGGTAAGCTTGACGTTTATCAAAATTTTATGCTATGCTATGTATTTGTATAAAGCCTATCTTTAAGCAAGCACGAAAACTTACATGTTTTTTAAACAATAGTCATCGTTACATCCAAGCAAAATTAATGGAGAATTACCATTGGATGTGGCTCAAGCCCTGTTCATAGTCATGCATTCCGCCTTGGCTCAGAAATTCAATTAATTTGATCAGTATGAAACAATCTAGGCACGGGCCGGTGAACCTAATGTGTTTAAGTGTCATTTAAGGTCAGTTATGTCTGCGGAGTACGGTCCGTACACATGTAAAGCATTATGGCCATATTTTTTATTCCAAATTTTTTATGGTGCACGTCTTTTGACAGGCCTACCCAACTACCAGACTCGGCACCGAATGATCCAGAATTCACCGGTAAATCGGACCACACTACCTGTTTTCAAGGTGTGTATCAGATCGCATTACATAGTATCAGACGCGACACCGCTCTTGCCTAGTACGCGATGTGATAGTGACGATTCTCAGCGGGGTTGAAAAGCATTGCATCACCACTCAAAATTTGTTAAGGGTATGATACTGTGTAATGCGATCCGATACACACCTTGAAAACGGGTAGTGTGGTCAGATCTACCGGTGAATTCTGGATCATTCGGTGCCGAGTCTGGTAGTTGGGTAGGCCTGTTTGATAGACGTTAGCTTCAAGCACCAAGTCTATTTCACTGTTGTGGTTCGTATATAGTAAACCTACAGTAGCAGGTATCTTTGACGTCAAAAGTGAAATTTTGGTTTGTGCACGTATTAAATAAAATTTATAGGTTTTACATTTGCAATTTGGAAATGTTTGAAAGTACTCGTCCTTTCCAACGATGATGCCGTTTACTTAGCTTGACAGTCGCATAATAAAATTCCTCAATGGAAAACTGACAAGTCTGTTAAATTTATGAGAGAATGGATGGTTTCATCATAGTTTGTTACCAATATTTTCGATAAGTGGGGCGATTGCTTTCATTTGCTCTCAGCCATTTTCTTTGTTTCAGATTGCAACTGTCCAAAGAAAAGTAAATTAAAGAAAAAACAGTATCTAAGTAAAAAATACGAATATGGTAAGTCTTTTTTAAAACTTGCTACTGCACTAAATGCCTAAACATGTGGTACAGAGTCTCCCTCCCTCCCTTCATCTCTTTCTCTTTCTCTCTCTCCACACCATAAACACACTCGTATTGTTTTTTCAACTGGCATTTTGAATGAAAAAATACCATCTTTGGTATATTATGATAATTTCCCTTGGCTGACGGTGAATAATCTTCCTTTCCAGTGGTCCACGGTGTATTCAAGGAGCAGAAAGCCATCTATGACCACGCAGTGACTGTGATAGATGTGAAAGAAGTTTTGAAAAATGGAGAGGTGGAAATAAAGCCTCAAACTCAAGTCCAGCTGTGGACTAAAGGAATGTGTGTCTGTGCTAAGGTGGAGGCGAACAAGGAATATCTCTTTCTCGGCCACGAAGATAAAGTGACTAAAAGACTGCTTCTGAATGACGACGCCCTTGTATTGAAATGGAAAAAGAAGGTGGCGAAAAAATTAAAGGTAAGATTGCCTTAACAGCCTTCTGAATGTTTTTAAGCCTTCGATTATATACTGAAATATCAAAACCCGCACCAATTAATGTTAAGATGACCTCCATTTGCGTTGGAACTAAGACACTTAGAGGATTGTTTCGTTTTAGTCAATCTTTTCTATGAGACAGTCGGTAATTGGCAATACAAGTTTTTCATAATTAAAGGTCTGATGGTACCATTGGCTTATTAACGTGGTCTTATTTTAGAGATGGGAAAGCCGGAAAAGACGAAGCCGAGGTCGAGGGAAAAGCAGAAAAAAGAAGGGAAATTCTGGAAAACGTAGCAGACAAGGAAGCAGGTAAAAAGAAATACACGCGTGTTGCGTCCACACACTTTCTTCATGTAGTAATGCTTCCTAAATTGCAATTGTAAGTACTTTTAACTTTAACTTCACACGCAAAAATATGATTTAAAAGCTGTGAACTTACTCTTTGCTTTATTGTTTTCCAATTAATATCCTATGCAATATGGTCCGTTACTGGTAGAACTGGGCAATAATTTAATGTGATTGTTTTTTTTTGTAGTTCTAGGAAAGAATAATGTGATACCGTATAGTGTGATGAAATAAGTGGAATATTTTGTGGTGCGAAGAGAAACTTGTGGTTGTAATCTTTTGACCCACTGCTACCATTTGGAAGACTGAAAACAACATATATACAAATTCCAGAAGAAATTGTTCTAACGAAATGTTTTCGTTCATAATTCATGCTGGAAAATACCATGCAAGAAGGATGGAATACGTCCACTCCTTTCTGTCGTATAATGTACGGAAACCTTCGCTGATGAAAACTTTGGTGGCTTTTGTGGCGAATTGCGCTCGTCCTTTCCGCCAAGTTTTTAATCACTGCATAGGAGAACTAAAAGGTTGCTCTGGTCATTTCTTGTATGATAACCCTTAATCAACTTTGAGACAATTACGTATTAAAGTTTGCTTCAAGTTTTAAAGACTATGTATAGCTTTGACACTATGTTTCTGCCGTAGTCTATAATTTACTGGTGGGTCCAGGATTTTGCTGAAGGAGGGCACAAGGATAAACCAAAAGTTTGTCTCGTTTCGTTCTCCTCCTCTGGGTCCGCCAATGCAAGTGTTGTCACGAGTCTACAGTCTAACTGTCATTTTAAAATGACTATTGTTATTGAGACAGATAATATATATATATATATACATATTTAAAAATGTTACTACACCTTATCCCGGGATGTTACAGATCTGTGATGGAACGTTGACAAAAGCAAGTTCACTGAGAGTTCGATTGTATCAGCAGTGAATGTGCGGGCAAGATGATATGCGCTTTGAAGATGCTTCAAACGAATCCTTGTGACAAAGATGGCTGAAGACGGATTTACAATATTGTTGTGGATATCAAAAAAGGCTTGATTTGGTTTCAAAATGATCGCACAACATTGCCAATCGGTTGTTGTCCACTAAGCTGGGTCGTACTTTTCAAGGACCAAATGGATGGGAAAATTTGGTTGCTTTTCATCCTGTAAAATTACATACACAGTGGTTGTATAGGAGAAAGCTACCTACAAGAGAATAGCTGATAATGTAAAAAAAAACATTGGCTGGAGTGATAAGTGTAAAATATTAAAGTCCTGACAAATGGAATGTTGTCTCTGGGAATGATTTAAGCTTCAATCAAGGTCTAAATTTTGGCTGTTTAGGTCTGTCCTGTATCATGTTGCGACAACAATATCCTTGACTCATTTGGACATTTTTATAAGATAAGAGTTTATTTAGCCAATTATAAAAATCGGAAATCATTTTCCATTGGAGCAATATACAGAGTAAAATAATAAAATAATAAATAAATAAATAAATTAAGAATTTAGCTTTGAGATCAAATTAAAATGCGTCACTGCACTTGGATAAAAGCTGTTTAAAAAGCGTTTACTGCCTTTAAAAGTTAAAAGTCTACTGTTGCTTGGTAAAAAAGTAAAAAGAGAGGATGCAGGATGGAAAGCGTCTTTCATGGTGTTGACAATTCTTTTCTCCATCCTGTCCTTAAAAATATCATCCAGCTTGGGGAGATCTTGTCCGATAATCCTGCTTGCAGTTTTTACAACGTTTGCTAATTTCTTCCTTTCCTCCCCAGCTGTTCCGCTATACCATATTATAATTCCGTACGCTAGAATGCTTTCAATTACACACCTATAAAAATTGACTAAAATAGGCACACTATCAGTAAAAGTTCTCAATGATCTTAAAAAATACAGTCTTTGCCGTGCCTTCTTTACACTCTTTACGGTGTTATCTTTCCAATTCAATTTACTGTTAAGGTGTATACCAAGTAGTTTAAATTCCTCTACCCTACTAACTTCATCATTACCAATGGTGAGTGGTACCTTTACATTCTGATTCCTTCTAAAATCCACTATCATTTCTTTGGTTTTAGCTACGTTCAAGATAAGATCATTACTCTCGCACCAGCTTAACAACGACTCAACAGATTCTCTATATGTACTCTCGTCATTATCAGTGACTAGCCCCACCAGCGTAGTATCGTCCGCAAATTTCATGAGAAAAGTCCCATCGCTTACACTAGTGCAATCGTAAGTAAAAAGGGAGTAAAGACAAGGTGAAAGGACGCATCCCTGTGGTGCACCGGTATTTAAGACTGTTATTTTTGAGCTAAATGAGCCGACTTTAACAGATTGTCTTCTATCTAAAAGAAAGTCTAAAATCCAGTCACAAATAAAAACAGGTAGCTTAAGATGGTTTAAAAGTTTCAAATATAGTTTTTTTGGCACAATTGTGTTAAAAGCTGAACTGTAGTCAATAAATAAAATCCTTGCATAAGAGTTTTTGTTATCTAAGTGTTGTAGTACAGTGTGTAGGCACAGATTAACTGCATCTTCAACATTTCGACGAGGCAAAAAAGTCTCCGTCTCAAGTAATAGAAAGTTTGATAGGGTAGTTTCATTAACAGATTTAACATTCATCATTTAAAATATATCATTCATATTTTTTTTTGCTGCACACATGGTGTTTACACTAGTATTAAGCTTCTTTGTAAAATGATAGTTGCATCTCCAGTGATAAGTGACGATAGATTTATGTACAGTATTTTGAGTGAACAAGCATATTTAGTATGCCTTTATTTATTGACAACAACATGACTGAATTACTTGAAGATTAGTTGCAATTGGAAAAACTTAATTGCATCGGGTTTGCTTTAAGTCTCGTGGGAGTACGTGAAAGATATTTGAAATTTTAAGAATCTGTGCTTCTAATAAAGGAACAATATTTAAAACAAACTTTGAATAACTTGTCGTATATATTTTTAGGGTCACGTAATGAATTTGTGTTTAACTGTTCTTCAATCAGGATTGTCAAATGGGTTTTCTATGTACGATGTATTGCCTACAGTGCAAAGTTCTTGAAAATTGTACTGCAATACACGGATAAAACATATTAATAAATCTAAATCAAGGATTTTCTAAGGCCCATGTCAGATTATCGTGGTAGGTGATCAAGGTGGTTCTACGACTACACTAGAGGTGATGGGATCAACATTAAACCTTTGATATATAGAAGGGATGGGTGATGACGTGGGGCCCGTTTAACGAAAGAACTATAGCCTAAAAAATGGGCTAAACGTTTAGACCGATACTTTTAGTCTACTTTGATCCAAGATAAGTCGGATCAATAACCAAATATTGATATGGCTATACTGTTTTACCTTAAACAGAAGCAGACCATATATATATTTGGTTTAAAGGTTTTAGACAAAATTTCGGTTTAAATTTCTATTGTGAAATCGACCTCTGAACAGTTTTACATGGGCACACTGAACATTTAACTGAATTTTTTGGGAAGTCCGGCTAGGAAAGCTATAGAAAGACTTACACATAATATTCGTCCTCAAATATTGCTGGCACTTGCCGAAGACGCAACTTAAATTTTCCTTTGAAGCAGCGGGGGAACATTTCTTCCTAGCAGCTTCAGATAAATGCTCAATCAGGCACTGTTTATTTTATTTCAACTGAAACTTGGACAGCGGTAAATGTACGCTTACGAAAAAAATGTCTCGGTTTACGAAACTTAATGGATTGCTTTTTTCTTTCAAACCTTTCTACCCCTTTTAATCTCATAAAGAGAGCTTGGAACAAATTTCCAAACGTTGACAATTACACCAATTTGTCTTCATCCTGGCGACACCGATGTCTATGTTTATATGTTACGTCAACGAGCTCTTTGTGCGTCTTAATTGAAACCCTGTCGTTCCAGTCTGCTTTATGAATAATCCATTTGTATATTTGTGCTAAAACACGATATATCAAGTAACAATTGGGCGTTCAATCGCGGTGAGATATCCTTAATGGAATGAACATTAAAAGGATAGTAACGGAAACTTCTATTACATCATTTCAAAAAAACATACCGACAAAAAATATGTCCCAACGTTGTGGAAGTCAGCCAGCTTTTAACGTAGATTCATCAGTGCCTGCGGTTTGGGTGGTAGTCTTCATACTTCGTAACGAGGGCGGTATCCAACAAGTTAAACAAGAAGCCTGCTGGGACCGTCAGGCGTCATGTAGCACATTGTCGTCTGCTGTTTATTTCAAAAGTTATTTTATCGTTTGAAGTTGCCAGTTCCCTCTGATGTAATACCATTGACTTCAATTAAGAACAATTCTGTCGTTGACTCATCAAAACCCGTTGTTTTTTAATCAGGCGATGGCTTTAAACACAAGTGACTTTCTCTAAGGTTGGTTCGACAGTGAAGTTAGTGGTATAATTCGAAAACGGTGTTCTAGCTGGCGAAAGGATCAGCTGTGCAATTTGCCGTTATTCCAGTTCAATGATTTATATAAATTAAAGGGATAATAACTCTTCGTTTCGGCCAAAAAATGAATTTTCCTGGAGTAAACAACAATTTTCCCATACTTACCAATGGTTAATGAATCCATTTTTACATTCAAAGTTAGTCCCTGGTTTTTTTCTAAAAAGTTTGTTTTAACACAGTATAGCCATCAATGGAGGTCACGTGGTCTAAAGACGAGCTCAGATATCAGAATAATAGCTATAACTGCCGTTTTTGTGGTAAAACAGAATATATTATATTTCTATGAGTTATTCACAATGTTTTTATTGTGAAATATAGATCTCATACGAAGAGTTATTATCACTTTAACTTTCCAGCTTTAAACAGCCTTAAACTTTCACATATACTGTATACTGATTTACCAACGCATTGAAAAAATTCAACGTTTTCAGTTCTTAATGTTTATTCTATTCTTCAGACACAATTCTTTATTTCTACAATTGTGTTAATCAATACAAAAATTATGAAAAAAGTTCTAGTTCCTGGATCCCGTCCAGACAAAGACCATGACAATGAAATTCAAGATTAGTACAAAGTACTAATACATCATCTGAAAAAGTTACCAGGCCAGCTGGAACCCTACCTGAATTATTCTACAACCATTAGATAAAGAATGCTCAGCACTGGACAGAAATAAACATGTATGCTCAATTTTCTAAGCACCTAGTTCAAACAATATATTACACCATTATGCACCAATAATCAAATAACTACAGATTAATAAGATCATCTGTATCACTCTACGATCATTACTAAATAAATTGGCTTGTTACAGCTACCCATTCACGATAAATATATACACTCTCTGAAAGGAGTGTACACTTCCCTTGAGACGGTGCTCTTTTAACAGTTTGTGATTTTAATATCCTGCAATACAAATCACCATCTTACCTAACACAACACGTACAAGTCACTTTAAAATATTTCCAACTTAAAAGGGCACACAACAAGTAATTCAACCACCTTTTTCAAACACCTTCTCTCGGATAACTTGAAATATTGTGTATTCCACTCAAAACCATAGGCTCCCTCATTTGTCAGTTTTTTTTCTCTTTCAAAGAACTTGGACATAATTTGCAGGAAAAATCCCAGTTTTGCCATGAATGGAGCCCTCCCACCAGTCCTCCTGGGTGTCTGTCCTGGTCAGGACCACTATCTCTTCTCCTGAAATAAAAAGATAATTTAGTTAAAAATTCAGTTAAAAATTAAATAAAAAGTTAAAGTTAAAAATTCAGTTTTCAATTCAAAGAATCCATGTACCAATACATACATTGCATATCATGTACAACAGACAAAGCAAAAAAAAAAAAATGTACTCTGAATATTACTTTAATTTTTGCTATTCATATGCATTCACACTTTAAATGAATGTAATAAATATAATATTATAGATAACTGATGTGTGTATTGACAGGGATTTATATTCTTTTAAATACAAAGTGAATGAAACTAGAGTAGACTACATAACTCGACATGTTTTAACTAAAATTAAGATATTAAAAAAAACAAAAAAACAAGTAATCAGTGAATTGGTATCAAGTTAATTATCAAAGTATCAATTCATGCTTGACATGTTTCAGAAGCCTTATTGTTGCTCTATGAAAAAATACAAAAAATGACACTGCTGCCCAGTTTCTTAACAGACATTAAAATAAAAATGGGAAAAGCAATGGATCACTTTTTTTCTATCATAACATCAAACACTTTTTACAGAATAGAAAAGAAACCATGGAACCCTAACAAGATAACTATAACATCAATATTTACACAGTAAAACAAGCAAACCACACGTAACAATGAAACAAGAAAATGAGATTTAAAAATGTTGTTCGTCCATCTTTTTTTGCGCTTCATTATTTCAATAAATACAAGCACATGTCATAACTGGCAAAGTTTCAACTACATCACAAAATCCATTTTAAAAGAAAGGTTACATAAAAAATCTATTTGTGTGCCACTAGGAGGGAGTGATGTAATTTATTTCTCCTTTCATATCAAATTATGTCTTTTCTTGCAACACAAGATGCCAAGCATGCTTGATGAGTGATGAAGTCACACTGACATTTTGCAAAAACGGCAGGTTACCACTGAGGACAACTGAAACATCAAGATGCCAAAAAGGCCCCACTAAAAAATGAATGAAAAAAAGCTCATTTCTGTGTTAGTTTTACAGGTAAATTAGATGGCAAAACACCAAGAATTGTTCCATAATTATATTTTTATGTCTGTTTGGAATATGTTGTAATCTAGTTAACATTCAGCCATCCAATTTGTGAACAAGAGTATTCTCAAGCATGAGAAGAAAAAAAAACATGTATATCATCAACAGAAAAATTGCTCCCAATTAATTTTGATATTGAGGACAAATGCAAGAGTTAAAGCATTCCAGCAATTCTGCTCAAACTTGCTATATTTTCATTTATGGGAATCCACTTAGCTGAAATGTGAGCAGCCCAGGCCAACCAGGCTGGTTAGAACTGCCTCAAACTAGTTAGCTTTTAGAGTACCTGGCCTAAAACTGGCACATAAATTTAGCTTACTAATATAAGCAATAAATTTCACTTCATGCAGACCTTTATTCTGCGAATAACATGGATTACATATAACTAGATTTCCATGCACCCTTATTTTTATTAAATTTTTATACATTGACTTATTTCATTTCTTTTCATATAACATAAAAAACTGTAAATTGCACCGATCTCTAGACACTGTAACAATTTCTCAGACCTGCAACTTTTTTCAACACCTGTTTCTGAACTTGTATATCCTCTATTAACTGAATTTAACACAAATAAGCCTCACAAATAGTGCACTGCCTTCCAGTAAACTGTGCTTAATTAAATATACAATAAAATAGCTAAGGTTGTTACATACTTTTAATAAATATTTAAGTGAAAGCGAAAAAAAAAAATATCCCCAAAGAGAAGCACATGCTGGTAACCCCTTTTCTACATTATTTCATTCAGTTTTCATACTTCAGTGTTTTCCTGGCATGTTGATGTATACATTAAAAGATTACAAACATCCCTTTATCATAAAATAGAACACGCTGGCAGTTCTAAATTTCACCCATTTCCCATTTTTATTAAATACATCATATAAATTTCACTTAGTTGTCTACTTCAAATTACATATGCCACTGCAGTGTTATACAGACTGAGGAATAACATTTATGAACACTTGCTAGCACCCCAGGACTGTCAAATCTGATAGACAAAGTTCCATGTTAACATATTCTTTTGACCTGCTGACAGCTCGACTAATTCACATGTCACAACTCATGCTTTACTGAATTGTTTTTAAATTCCCAAAAAAAATTACCTGATGCGGATATACAAAACTGACTATAAAAAATGGGCTTAACACTGTCATCTGCACGTATGTACAGCAAAGATGTGGGCATGTGCTGGCATGTGTGCACGTATTTCCATGTGATTGGTGTTATAATTACGTTTATAATCAATATACCTTTTGCAAAAGTCAGATCACATGGTTTGATGGCAGAAAAGGCCCATAATGCCTTAGCCTTCAGTGGGGCATCCCAATCTGGAGCATCATGAGTACCTGAAACATTAGGAAAGATACACATAAACAATGATGATGGAGGCATGTAGAACTGTTTGCTCAAAATGGTACAGTAAAATGTGTTAGTTGAGAAAAAAGACCAGACCATGTGTACTGAGAAAATTGTAAGAGCCTGAAATCCTTAAGTTTTTTTTTTTTGTCTGGACTCTACAGAATTATCAGAAATATTAAATATTAATATTATATGTTTTATCAAAAGACTTTTATTTCAGAGATGTCAAACAATGAACTTCTGTGAATAATTCTCCTTGAGATGCAGAGTAGTTTAAACAACTTCAGGATATACCTTCTATTACCCAACAACTGGAAACCAAACAGATGAATAAAGTGGGTTACTAGTGACTCTTCAACTCAAGGCAATTACTCTTCACAAAATCTGAAAAATGTGTTAACATATTTGAAACAAATGAAAATTCCAGAAATCCTGATTGACATACCTTTATGTTTAGTGACCACAGTCTTAGAGGTAGTCGTTTTTGTGACCTTCACTGATTGTGACCTCCAGGAGGGTTTAGACGACGCCTTCTTATGAGACGGTGGGCTGTAACCTTTCTTGGGTGGACTGTAGCTTGGCCTACTGGAGGGCAAATTAATTGGTTCTTCAAAATATCCTCGTCCACTTCCTCCGTATTTGTCAGTAGCTGAGTAACTGTCATCATCACTGCTGTCTGATGCATAGGAATTACTTGGAGACTGAGACCTTCTAGACGCAGAGCTGGACTTTCTCGACTTAGAGGGAGATTTGGACAGAGGATTCTTGATACTAAAGCCCTGGAACATAGATAAACTCTAAGCATTAGTGAAAGGTACTAATCAAGCAAAGACAAAGATGAACAAAGATGAAGATACTGAAGCATTGTAATATGTATGGTAACATTTATACATGAATTTCAAAGTAGTAATGATTTCTTTTTTTAAATTAAAAAAGCCAAACTAACAAAGCACAATTCTGGTTATAAATAACAATATATTAAGAATGAGTTCAAATGCCATTTACTTTTTCTTTCAATTCTAAGCACCCAAGAACATATACCCAGTAAGAGGGTATAAAAAAAAAACATACTTCATATCACTTACTTCCACCAACACACTACTATACCTTAATTTTACTAGCCATTCCTTTCCCTGCAGCTGCCTTTGTTGCTTCCTTTTTAGCATAGTCCTTAGCATATCTCATTGCTGCCTTGGCAAACATTTCCTTGTGTTTTTCCAGTACTTCATACAGTTCACTGCATTCTGAGGGCCTTGGAACATCCCCTCGCAAGATTTCAAAGGCACGTATATCTTCATTGTAAAACCTGGTGAATTAATGGTGAATCAAAGGTCACATATTGGTTTTATAACAAAGAAAACACAAAATGATGCCAAACTGATATACTGAAGCTACA